GGTGTATTATATGGGGTATTGGTGGTGAATTGTTGCAAGATTGATGGTATGGTGTTATATTGGGATTATATTGAATATCGGGTTATGAATTTTATATTTTATATGTGTGTTTTTTTAAATGTATATTTAATATTGTATATATCTTTATTTTATAAAACGAAATCGTGAATTTTAGTTGTTATATTTGTATATGTTGTATTGGATTTATTTTTTGGAATATTTTGAACGAAATAGGATATTTTTTGGTTAATTGTATTTGTGTTTTGTTTATGATAATTATGTATATATTTATATATGGATTTTTTGAAATTAATGATTTATAGATTTGTTTTTATTTTAATTGGACAATTATGTGTTATTGGTTTTTTGGTATGTTTGTTTTATAATTAATTTGGTTTTTAATATTGTTTATAATTTGTGTTTGGTGATTGGTATGTTTTTATATTTACAATATATATATTTTTTTGATATATATATATATATGTTGTATTTGAGAGTTTGGTTTATGTATTGGGAAGAATATATGTAGATTTTTAAGATTGTATGTTTGGGGATATTTTGGTGTATTGTTGATGGATTAATGAAAAATTAATTTTAAATTTATTAAATATTAATTTAAATATATTATTAATTTCATTAAATTGATACTGTATATTTTAACCTTTATAAATTTATGTAATTTTATTAATTTAGGGTTTGTGCTTTATGTTGTTGGGAGAGTTAAGATGTTTTTATTGGAAATTAATAGATATTATATTTAGATATATGGAATATTCGAGAGAAAATTGAAATATTATATTTTGACTTATACAGATTTTTAAATTTGATACAAATTGGAATCGAAATTTAAGTTTCTTTTTGATTTAGCTCTAAAAAGGATATTATAAAAGGGTACCCCCAAATAACAAGATGGCCGATTTTGGATTAGTGGCGTTTTTCCCATTGTAACCGCCTTTTATTGACTATGTGTTTACATGTTGGTATTGGACGCTTAAAACACACGCTTGTTTTGTTTAATATAGCACTTTAGGAAATACACTGAGGTGTTATTAAGAAGTTCTATTTATAACTCGCTTTTGGATATTTGGGTCTCTAGCTTAATGTAGAGCATAATCTTTCGAATTGGCTTTGAACTTAGGGTCTAAGGCTCAAGGCTCACGAGGCTTGCGGCGGTAGTCTGAGAGCGATTAACCCGGCCCTTAGCGCATCTCGCGATTTGTGGTTGATTATATTATTCTCCTACCATGAATTTCATCTCGCGCGCTGCTGGAAAGCAGCGGACCCCCGTTAATATTATATGCATTTGAATAATTTTGATATTATTTTATGTAAAATATATTATTTTAAATTTGGATTTGTATATTTAAATAGTTTATATATTATATATTAAAAATATAATTAAATTTATATTATATTTAATTATTAATTTAATATATATTTATATATTTATGGTTTAATATATTATAATATTTTAAATTTTCATTTATTATAATATTAAATATTAATATGGTGTTTTCGGAAAGCCATTAAATTCCAAAGACATTTATGGGGGTAATATGTAAAATCAAAAAACCGACTCGTCGACAACAACCCAAAATTCATAAGAGGATTTGGCCGGATTACTCCACGAGAATTCTAAACAAAAACCCGAAAAAACAATATATAATAAAAATCGGAACCATATAAAGAAACAAAAGCGCATACCGAAGAAAAATATAACATCTACAATATTATAAAAATAGAACTATATTATATATATAATTTTCGGCTTAACCTCTATATCCATCATTAAGCTCAATTTTTTGGGGATTTGGTTAATTTAATTTTTTTCGAACCTATCTTTTTCTTTTTCTCCCTCTGTTTTTCTATCTTTCTATCTGTTTATCTTTATATCTTTTTATCTGTCTATCTCTATATCTCTCTTTCTCTCTTTCCCTCTTCTTCTCTTTCTCTTTTTCTCTTTTTCCCTCTTTCTTTCTGTGTCTTTGTTGTTTCTCTGTCGCTTTGTCTGTTTTTCTATCTTTCTGCCTCTTTGTCTCTCTGTTTCTTTTTTGTCTCTTTGTCTTTTTCTTTGTCTCTTTGTCTCTTTTTTTGTTTTTCTGTTTCTTTGTTTTTGTGTGCGTGTTTGTTTTTTTGTGTGTTTTTGTTTCTTGTATTTTTTGTTTCTTTGTCTTTTTGTGTTTTTTTGTTTGTATTATTGTTTTGTTTTTATTTCGTTTTATATTTCTTGTTTCTTTTTTTATATTTTTGTTTATTTTTTTCATTTTTTTGTATTTTTATTTATTTTTTGTTTATTTTGTTTTTATATTTCTTTTATATATATATATATATAAGGTCGCTTTATTTGTTTGTTTGTGTGTATTGTTTGTTGTTTTTCTTTTTTTTGCTTATGTTTATTCTATTTAATTGGTTTGATGATATTTCTAATTATCTATTTTTATATTATTAGATTTTGGTTATGTATATTTGTTTTTGATTTTTGGTTTTTTGTTGATTGCTTTATTTGGTTTTATTTGTTTTTGGTTTGCTTTGGCTGGTCTATTTTATTTTATATTGTTTTATTTATTTTGTTTGTTTGTATACTATTACTTATTTATTTGTTTGTTTCTGTTTGATTGCTTCTGCTTGTTTGCTTCTCTGCCTGCTTGCTTTATCTATTTTATTTGCCTTAGTTGTTTTGTTATTTTACCTACTTTGTTTGTTTTGTTTTGCCTTGTTATGGGCCGTTGTTGAAATAACGGGTTTTCTTTAATATCGTGTATATTTGTAGGGAGTTTAATTTGAAGAAAAGATATAATGAGTGATTCTTATTATTAATATTATTATTGGGGAATTATATTGGATAATCTATATTTGTATTTTTTTGAGAATTTGAAGCTAATAAATCATAAAAAAACCATTCGAATTTTCGATTTAGAGGAATAAAAAAAGTAGTAATAAAAATATATAAGAATTTGTTTATAAGAAGAAGTAGAATTAAGAAGATGGAATAATACGGGGGGGGGTTACGAAATAGTTAAAAGTAATTTTGTTTGTTCGGGAATGGTTTAGGATTTTAGTTTCAAAAAAAGAATTAGTATATTGTAGCGAAAGGATGTTCCAAAATTCGTAGAGTGTTAATTAAGTAATTCGAGAATTGCAAAAATAATATAGATTTTTGAAGGCTCGCGGGCCGAAACCACGATAGGGCTATATAAAATAGCTCGCCGAATTATATTAGCAAAATTGGGTATATTTATTGATAAGATCTTTTTTGTTTTTTTCAATGGACGCTCGCCCCCATAACCCACCTCCCCATATTATGGGCGGGTGGGGAGGGGACCGTGATCGTTAATCATGGGATTATAGATAATATATTATTTTAGATTATTTAACTATATTTTGATATTTAATTTAATTTAATTATCATTAGTTTAAAGATTTTGAGAATAATATATTTAGTTTAATATTAATATTATATATATATATATATTATAGAGTAAAAATTACAAGAAAATATTATTGATTAATATTGCTATTCTATTTTATGGTTTTAAATTTTAGAATTATTATTATTAATTCTTTGTATTATATTTATTTTGATATTTAAAAATGAAAATATTCGGAGATTGGTGGTCTAGTAATATAAAACAAATAAGCAATTCTGCTTATAAGTTTAATTTAAGATATTAGAAAATATAAATAACAAAAATGCATTAGAAGATGAAATCTCGCCCACCCATAACCTAGCGCCACTATAGGCACGAAGATCGTATTATCCTGCTCCGAAATCGGAACCCAAACCAAAGAACAAACAACGCTCCAAGAATCTTGATCCAAAGGACAAATTCTTCGTACTACTAGAAGAGATAGTGCAACAAACAAAATATTGAGTCAAATATTCTCAAATCAAAAGGTATCGAAAAATTATCGAAAATTTCAACTAAATATAAAAAATATAAACTAATATATATTCCAAAATCCCTTTAAAATCCCCTATAAGTGCGGCTAAGTCGCCTCCCGATGCCTCTTGTATATCACGTAGTAATTTCTTTATAAATTAAACGAACCCCGAGTTTTAAGTTAAAAAATAAACACAATTTTATCCACCATATAAGTCAAGAATCGAAAGAATCGTTTCCCCTCAATATCTAATCCATTTATATATTTTTAAATCCGAAATTCATAATTAATTCTATGAAAAAAACACAATTATATAAATTATTATTAAAATATTTATATTCGACATATTAATACACAACCATAATTGTTTCCTACAAATCACACCCAAAATACGAGATTAGAAAGGAAATATAATCATTATATTAAATTAGAAAACCACTTAATTCTATCAACGACAATACTAAAAAAAATCCAAAAAGATGGAAAACACGAAAAAAAGAGAAAAAGAGAGAGAAAGAAAAGAGAACAAAAAAGAGATAAATAGAAAAAGAAAAAAAAGAAAAATGAAAGCAAACAAAAGAAGAAAAAAAACAATAAGAAATATAAAGAAAAAATGAAAAATAGAAAAGAGAAAAAAAAAGAGGAAACACAAAAGAGAAAACAAGGAAAAAAAATAGAAAAAAAGCGAGAAAGAGAAAAAGAGAGAGAGAGAGAAAAAGAGAGACGGAGAGAAAGAGAGAGAGAGAGAGAGAGAAACAAAAAAAGAGAGATAGAAAAGAAAGAGAGAAAAAGAAAGAGAAAAAAAGAGAGAGAGAAGGAAGTAAACAAGCAAACAAATAAGCAAATAAGTAAAAACAACAATAAAAACAATCAGAAACGAAAAGAAAGACAGAACGAAAGGAAACAAGCGGAGCTTAAAAGGGGGAGATACGACGCGTAACAACATGGAAATATACCATCTTTGTAATCGACCCGCAGAAACAAGCGAGATAAATAAACATTACCAAATAGACAGACGCGGACACGCGGAAATCGAGAAAGACACAAAAAAAACACGGACACATAAAGACAAACAGAGACAAACCGAGATAGTCCGATAGATAGAGAGACACAGACAAACAGATAAAGACAAAGAAGCACAAACACCAAAAAGAAACAGATTGGGATACACAGAGATACACAAAGAAAAACAGAGATTACGAAATAGATAAATACAGACACACGGAAACAGACTGGGAGACACCACAGAGAGAGGCAAAGATACGGAGACACTCGGCGCGAAATTTTCGAGAAATTTCGATTCGGATAGGTCGTAATGTCCGGAAACTTAAGAGTCGTGTCGCCGGAACGACCCAAAATTCGGGAAAATTTGGCCGGGTTACGCCGCGGGAATTCTAAGCAAAATTATTAAGAACCCCCAAAAATTTCGGCAAAATTTCGGGGCCTTCCGGGCCGCGCGAAGAGGCGGGAGCTTGTGCCGCGGAGAAAAGACTGGGACAAGCATAGTCGCTCGCCGCAAGCACTACGATTCGGCCGGAAGACCGCTGCAACGGCTTGCCGGTGCACGGTAAATACGACCTCGAGGCCGTACCGGTTTCTAGGAGAATACTACTCGGGGAAAGCAACACCAAGATAATTAAAACATTTTTTAGATTTCCATCTTTAGAATATCGATATATCAAATTTAAAAAATCAGCAAATAAGCAATACGAAAATTCCAAAAATATGTCCCAATTTTCAAGGTCAACAAACAAATCTTAAAAACAACATAAATAATACATAAAACAATATCTTATAATATAATATTAAATGATAAATCCTAACCTTATCCTAAGCTATTCATCTACTCCTAAGCACCACCGTGCCTACCCAATTATAGCAATTTATTCCATCAAAAAACCAATACCAAAAAATCAATAAATACTAACAAGATTATTATTATATGTTCATTCTCGAATCCTAAAAATCAAGAATATCATAAAATACGAATTATATAATATTAGCGGGGGCTCGCTATTTTCCAGCAGCGTGCAATGGCAAGAGAATAACCAAATCAGAATATAAAATTTAAAAAAAATATTCCAATTATAGATAAAGAGGCACGATCATACTCACAGAGACAGAAATAAGTAGACCGAGCAAGTGTTTGACAAAAAACGATTTGAGAAAATGAATGACTGCGATTTTGAGCCTTTGCCTTGGACCCTGCCCAAACAAAACATTTTAAAAGATTACACGCTGCGCTAAATTGGAGACTTCTGAGCAACCTCAAAAACACAGACCATTGGCCTCCAAAAATCCATTCCCATATATACTTGTTGCAACGCTATTTGTCTAACCTCCCAAAAAATGTCCTTTATAGAGAAAATCGTTCCATAACACACCGTGCCAATGCGGTTTCGATCAACCTGAAAGATCATATGTTCGAATCTCTTAAACTAAGCCGAAATCGGCCAATTTCACCGTTTCATCATTAACCTATTTTTTTTAAAAAATAAACCAAAACGAAACCTCGAAAAAAACGGTTTCAAATCCAATTTAAAAACAAATCATTCCAATCCTCTAAAAAATTATTTCTTGCTCCTCCATAAATCTTTTAGCCAACCCATACAATCCAAAAACCGGGCCAAAACAACGACCAAAAAAAAATCGAATTTTATATCCCAATAATGTGTATCAATAACCTCTTTCATTATATTATTAACACAACAATCCAACCTATATAGTCTAAATTACAATATTTATATCTTGCTCTTAAATATTATATACACCTAAATATAATATCTTCCAATATCCATCAACCCTATCCTATTTCTTTTAATAATAAAAAAATACACCCTAAATTTATAACTTCAATATATTTATATTTATGTAAATATATGTGTTTGTGTTTTTGTATTTGTTTCATTTTTATTTATTTGTTTATTTAAATTTATTTTTATTAATCTCTAAATTTATACAATTTCTATGGATTAATTAATCTAAATATAAATAAATAAACACTCAAATACAAACACACACACACAAACAAACACAAACAGACAACCACAAACACAAACACAAATACAGACACAAACACAAAAACAAATACAAACAAACACAAACACATAGACACACAAACACAAACAAACAAACACAAACAAACACAGACAGACAAACACAGACAAACACAGACAAACAAATAGACAGATAGACAAACAGAGAAGCAGACAAAGAAACAAAAAAAAAAGAGAGACCAACAGACAAAGACAGAGAGACCGACAGACAAACAACCAAACAAAACAAAGACAAACACATAGACACAGACACTCAGACACACAAACACAGACACACAGACACACAGACACAAGACACACAACAGACACCGACAAAGAGACAGAGACAAACAGAGACACACCTCCGGCGCGCAGCGCGCCGGAATCTGGTATCGACATGCCACAGGCTTCGCCTACGCACACGCACGCGTCCGACTCCGAGCCCGAGAGCCGTGATGCAGACGGACTGCAAGGAACGCGCGTGCGAGCTCTCGGCTCCAACTGCACGCGGCCGCTGGCCGCTTGTCTTGTAGCGCCCTCGCCCAGTGGAGCGAGCTAGTGGGAAACGGTTTGTTATGCGCTTGTCTCGGCGCTGCCCCGCCGCTATCCTTGCCCTCCACGACGGCTGTTTTCTTTCTTTGGACTGGGCACCCCCGGTTGCTACCGGCCCGGTTTGGATTAGTAGTTTGGATCGGTATTTCCTATTCAATTTCAATATGATCCAGGGGTTCAATCCCCAAACCACCAATCCAAACTAGTAATTCGGGGAAAGTCAAGGCGAGTATTAAAAAAGGGCCGAGTTCTGGGGACCAAGGTCCAGGCCGTGGTGGGTGTGCCAAGAACAGAGCAAATCTTATAGAGCCCGTGCAGGTAAGATATTTTTTACAAATCAGGCATCAACATATTTTGTTCATCAATAGCTAAAAGCTTTGGGGTCTCAGCCCAGACAGGCTCCGAGGTGGTCCGGGGCAACCCTGAGGTAAGATTCCACGAGGGTTCCACCAGGGTTCCATCAGGGTTCCACCAGGGTTCCATCAGGGTTCCACCAGGGTTCCACCAGGGTTCCACGAGCTTCTGCAAGGGCTGTGGGGTGGTGCAAGCACTAAAAAGAGAGCACTAAAAAAGAGAGCACTAAAAAGAGAGCACTAAAAGAGCTTACCCGTACTTATTATCTCATATATATCAAAAAATATGTTCTCGTCGTATGCGAAAAAAATATTATTGTTCTCCAAACAGAGGTCGTAAAACGCACTAAAGACTGGGCTAGTCGCGATAAGGTCATGCCAAAGAATCAATAAAAGGCGGTCGCCTAAGCAAAGTGAGAACCGAATCGCGGGTTATTAATCTCAAACTATCCATTTAAACAAAAACACAATCGATCAAAAAACATCCATCCTAAGTACAAACAAAGCTAAGCCAAAAAATCAACCAAAATTATTATAAACAAACAAATATATGCCCCAACATAACGGTTTCATTCAAAGCCCGAACCATTTTTTCCAAAATATCCCGAATATTTAGACCATTTTTGTCCGAACAAATTTAAGTAAACCATCCAAAAGAAATATAAAACGGTTAAATCTTCCAACAACAACCCAAATCAATTTTCCTAGATTTTTAAAAAATAGATTTCTCAATTTATTCATAATATATATATATATATATTTAATTTAAAATCTAATTTTAATATATATATATATATCTATATTAATATGTATTTATGTATATAATTATCGTTATTTTATTTGTATTATATATATATATTTAATTATTTCAATTTTAAGGGAATAGTTATTTTTCAATTTCAGATATTTCAGAAAATGAACCAAGATTGCATTGCAATCCGGTCAGCTCCTTGCTTCATAAATGAAAATCTGATACGTCAATCGAGCGCAACGTGCACACTGCGACTTTGAGGCGCCAGAACGGATGCATGAGTCACAATCAAAAACCCGGTAATTCAAGTGGTCGACTTAAACCAGTAAAGAATCAAACAAGCGGCTACACTTGTCTCTGGTTGGGACTGTCCTTTGCAAACCTTCCCTTACCAGGTCTTGTTTGTGGCTGACGGTTGCCACAAGCTGGAACAGAAGAATGAGGTCAGAAGTCCTGCTTGCTCCATCTCTCGGTCTTGGGGATTCATTAGGCTGAACTCCGTGAATTAAAGAGAGTCAACCCTCACTCCTGACCAGCGGGTCAGATCAGCAGGTCAGATCAGCAGGTCAGATCAGATCCAGCAAATGCGATCTGATCACTTTGCACATGGGAACTGCCTCGCTCTGGCTTGATACACTGCGCTCAGAAAAGCGGAAAACATATCCAGTTGCTTGAAGCCCCAGGACGACAGTCTGTCAAGCCATGCATCTTCAAAGGAAGGCAAATGGCGGCGGCCACGTTGCAGCCACAGCTCTCCACTTTCTCCTTTGTGTTAATTGCTGCCTCACGCGTACTATGCGGCAAGCTTCTATATGGCTAGCGATTTTCAGGACTCATCTGAGCGAGAAATCACAGCCGAAGCCAACACCTCCAAATACATGCGGAGCTGAAAACTCAGGAATCAAGCACAGCTTTCAGGTGAAACTCAACAACAGATACTTGGTATGTGCCAAAAACTGGTGCAACACAACAACATGTCTGATCAGTCACACCCAAGCTGAGGATCTTCCAGTGCACACCACAAACCAGTGGCGTGGAAAATGTGTGAGAAAACCCTCGCCAATTCGAAAGTGGAAACCAAGCGTCACAAGCGGTGCCCTTTGCTGGCGCTGTGGGAATGCTACCATCCAAGCCGGCCCAGGGCCAGCCCAACCGAGAAAATGCACAGCGACCTTGGCATCGGATTCCTTCAAGGAGCCCCTGGCGAAAATCATCAACCAAAATGGGGGGGGGTCGTCATGTTTTCCCTGAAAGCCGACCTGAAACAAGCTTGAAAAACACGCATCTATGGCTTGAGCAAGGCACACATCAAAACCCGAGCGTCCGACCAGCCCAGCATGAAAGGCGCCTGCAGCTTCACGGGCCGGGAGAAGTCAGCCTTGCAACACAAAAGTCTGGGACTTGGAATGTGTTCAACGAAGACCCGGGACCACGAAGCTGTGTTTTCCCGTGGTGGGATGCATTCAACGAAAACCACGAGAAACCGAGCCCGTCTTGGCAGTCACTGGGCTTTCAAGATGGAAGCTGTCTTTCGCGTCAGCTTGCGTGCCTGCATAGTGAGAGCCCCTTCTTGCAGGGCGCCTTAGCAGCACAGCAGGGCTAACGGCCATGCGTGTTTCGTTGAAGCAATGCACTCACGCCTTTTCCCGGGCGAAAGGCTCTGCCATACGCGGTCGGTGACCGGAGCACACTCGCCGCGCTTCCCGGATTTCAGGCGATCTCGCATCACTCGCAGGCATCACTGCAACTGGCGGAGGGTGTTGTTCACCTCCGCTTGCTTCTGCATGCACTGGGTGGACCTGAGGTCGGTGGCCTCCAGCCTCTGCTTCAGCTGCGCCACCACGGCGGTCAGCCGCGAGAGCTCCTCGAGGTTCTCGCGCGTCTCGTCCACCAGGCTGAGCTGCCGGTCCTCAAGCTCCTTGCACTGGGCCGTCACGTGCGCCGCCAGCACCTGGCCCGGCACCCAGGGCGTCAGAAGCTGTGCCGCCGGCAGCCGCCAAACCTCGAGGTCGCAAAACATCTGCAGCAACAGCTCCTCGGCTTTGCGGCGGTCCATCTGGCACTCCTTGTTGCGGTCTCCCTGCAAGTCTCCCAGTCCAGGCAAAGCCGCCAAGCTTTTCCAACTGCCAGACAGGAAGCTGAAGGCCTCGGCGATCATCTTTGGATCACGGCACTGCTTCCAGCGGCCCAATGGCCAAAGCCTCGCGATTTCGGAGACAAAGCCAACGCCCTCAGTCTTGCCACGGCGCAGCAAGCGAAGCAGTACTGCTCTAACAAGCGACAGCGAGTCCTCTGCCAGGGGCACTTTGCTGAGCAAATCTGAGCTCAGAGACCCGTCATCCCATGACGAGCTGCCATCCTCTGGCAGAAATCCTCTCTGTGGAATGAAGCTCACCTGAAAGAGCTCCTCCGCAACCTGCTGAGCACGTGCGCCTTGCCCACCCAACCACAGAACCAGCTTCTCCGTCAGCGGGTGTTTGAGAATCAGCTGCGAGTGCGCCTCATCCAAAAGCTCGCCGAAGAGCAGCTCCTCAATGAGCTGGCAGGTGCGCTCAGCGCCGGATTGGTACCCCGCGAGCATCCGCCGCAGCGTCACGGAGGCGGCGGGGTGCCAGGCCACCTCTCGAAGGAAGTCACCAGGCACCTCCCCAGAGACCACCATCCATCTCAACTTCTTTGAGCGATGAAACAAGTCCTTGAAGAGCCGCCTCGCGCCTGCCTCATCTTCTTGCAGCAGCAGGGCGCGCACCGCAACTGCGCCAGCAACGGGCAGAGTCGCTGCCGTGTCCAGAAACTCGGCCAGCCCCGCGAGACGCCGCAGCGACACATCCGCCACCTCCGCCAGGTCTTCGGAAATATCCTCCTCCGGATCCAAAGAAACCAGCTGCGCAATGTCTGAGATGTTGTCCTCTATGGTGTCCACTGCCACCTCAGGCTCCTCCTCCGACTCCATGCCCAGCACATCCGGCGGCTGCGGCAGCGGCTCGCGCACGTGGCCAGCAGCTACTTCCGCCTCAAGCTGCTTCTGCAACACGTGGAGGGCGAATCTGTGCTCTGACCACTCGATGGTTGGCAAGGACCGCTCATGCACATGGGAGGTCACGGAGGGCGTCGCGGTACCGGGCCGAGCGTCACCGCCTGGTGAGTTGGTTTCCTGCCGCTGACGGTGGGCACGCAGCACCTCTAAAGAAACCCGCAGGCTCCCCTGAGCGAGCGCATCACCCAGGCGCAGGTCACGGTGGTCCAAGCTGGCACAGAAGAACCTCGTGACCTCTGCAAACGCCTCATCCATGGTTTCGCTGGCCTCGCCAGACAATCGCACCACTTGTTCAAGCAGCCCCAGGGCTTGCCGCGAGCGTAGCTCCTGGCCAACAGGCAGCAGCCGCAGCAGCCGCGGGCAGCGCAAAACCGCAGCCACCTCCAAGTAGTCCCCTAGCGAACTGGGGGACACCGGCGGCTCCAGTAGCTGCAGGCCCTCAGAGCCATCGGCCAGCACCGCCAGCTGTGCCAGGACACTTCGGAGCAGCGAAGCACCGCCAGCCAACTTGGGCAATTGGTAGCTGCTGGTACCCTCCTCCGCTAGTCTCTGCAACAGCTCCGAGTCCAGGTCAGAGTCGGTTTCCACCGCCTCGTCCGCCAGGAGCGTCAATTTCATGGCGCAATACTTGGAACACCCAGGCAACAACAAAAGAGGCACGATAGGCAGGTGAGAAAGGCTGTTTATCATGAACGCACGAATGTGCTTTTCAGCGACATGCCCATCTCGACCTGGTGTAGGCGGGGAAGGAGGCGGCGACAATCCGTTGGTTTTCTTCTCGGTTGCCCTTCAAACCAAGGCGCAAAGGCTGCCTTCGCAAAAACAACCCCATTTACAGCAATTGATGTTTCAGCCAGGTGGAAGCCGCAACTGGTGGTTTCTGAGACCCAAACGGGGGCTTGCACAGCTGTCCTGCCACATTCAAGTGCAGAGCGTGGCACTCACAGCTGTGGCCTTCATCGGCAAAGCTTGAGATTCGAAGCGTGTGTCTTTCTCATTTTTTGGATAAGGCCTTCACTAAGGTTTCCTGTTGGCTCGTTTGCAGAACAATCCAAAGGTACAGAGCCTGACAAGACACGCGGCTGGCAGTCCTCCTCGGCGTGGCCACTGTTACACCGAACAAATCTGGCGACCTGACAAGGATTTGTCTCAGAGCTTGAGGCATGTCAGGAACAAATCTCAGTTCTGCAAAGCGAATGTTGGCCAAAAAGCCGAAACTGTTTGATGGTTTTGCAGAAAGTGTCAGTCCAGAAACTCAAAGAAAGAGATTGGGCTTCCTTGTACGGTCCCAAAGCCCAGTCTCTCATGAGCCAAAGCTGGCCTGCTTCACCTCCTCCGAGAGCATGCGAGAGTAGCCAACAGCTTCAAAGGTTGCCTGCTCAGTCATCAGAGTCATCAGACCAGAAAGCTCTGATCGGGATTTGAATCTTCCCTGGCTCCTTGGCTCCCCCAATACCCATGGCCAGTCTTTGCACGTGTATTTGGGCCTGAGGTCTTGACCCGCACGACCGCATGACCGCATGACCGCTTGCCTCTTCGGGGAACCACGAGGCATCTGGACCTCATCCAGCGCACTTCCTGGATCTAGGTATTTATATACATTTATTGAGTGCGTGAACTACAATCAGGCCCTTTGCCATCATTTGCAAGAGGATCTACGTCCACCAGCTATTTTGTAGCATGATTGTCATCAACATGTACAGCAAATTGTGGGTGCCATCAGCCCTCACATTGGCGATCCGCTGTGGCATGTCAGGGAGAAGCCTTGCTGAGGGCGCCGCATTGCATCAAATGCTGGCCGAGCTTCAGCGACTCCCTCTCATATTCCTGCAAGAAGTCCTGTAGGTCGCTGCATTTACGATAGCACTGACATGAAGTAGATTTACGTTCGCCGAAATGCATATTCACTACGCAGCCCGGCACAAAATAGCAATCCATGTAGTAGTCCGAGATTGAAGAAGATGAGGTGTCATGTGCTTGCTCTGGTGTCCCAAAGCTGTGTCACTGTCACCGATAGCTTGTTGGACCAGCACCTAACATTTCCGTAAGCGTCTCCCTACACTAACTGAAATAAACACCAACCACCACAGCGATGCCAGAAACTTGCTGGCTTCTCAGCTGCCTTGGACGAAGCTTCCTATGTTGGACTTTCACTGGCACTCTCACCTCAGCTGGCCTCCACCGTGATGCAGGACTTTAAATCTGCTCTCAGCATGACCTGATCGCAATGCTCAGACGGCTGCAGGTGTAGAGACGATCTTCAGACTGGATTGCACTTGTCTCTGCTCGTACAAAAATGATCATCTGCAATCAAGTCGCTCCAGTCAGACGCTTGCTTCGCCTCAGATCAGATACTGAAGGCTTCGATTGCGAATTGACCAATGCTTCGACTGCAAGAATGCTTGGAACCAGGCTGCATCGAGGGCAAAGCAAACCACAAATGGCACCTCAACCTTTCCGCCCTCTAAGTACCTGAGAGCCTTTCGAGGTCGACGAAACGCGCGAAGCCTGTCTCACTCAAGCTCACCCTCTCAGAAGCTTCATGCGCGTTGCGGTGCAAAACGAATTGGCCAGACATCAAGACCTGCGTTGCCTCAAGCGGAAGCCATCGACATTTCTGCGAGATCTGCGCTGTATCTCTTGCCTCAGAACCGGCAGCTCCACGGCCTCCGATCCGCAAGAAATGGCGCCTGGGTTGCCAGCCTCTAGATTACAAGGCGTACCAAAAGGCCCGTTATTTTGAGACACACACCCACACAACGAATCTAAACACACACCTTGAGTTGGTTGTGCCAGAAGGCAAATCAAGTCTCAGGCGCAAGTGAAAGTTGAATTTTGCAGGATTCTTGCACATCGGAAAGAGCACTGCTGAACGAACTTGTGTTTACGTGGCCCTCTGTGTGCTTCTGACATTGATACACTGGCGACCCCTGATAGAGTCTCGGCATCACCAGGTAGCCGGTATGCCGAAAAGTAATACCTGAAGCTTTTGTTCCTGAAGCTCTCAAGCCTGGGATCGCCCGGTGAGGGACCGGCACGTGCAAGTGAGCAACTGTGGACAGAGTTGCACGTACTCCCAATGCGGCCTCAGCTTTGCTGATCCGAGCATTTAATTTACAGCGCACTTGGCTACCGCAAAGACATCAGGACCAAAGAGGAAATCCGGTAGACCCCAAAGGACCCTGTTAATAAATGTGTCGTGTCCCCCAGACCTGGTTTATTATTACAGGGGGGGTCCGCGTTTATTATTAGGGGGAACGGATTGGAAGGTGCCTTTTCGGGTGGCTCAGAAAAGGCCGGAATGGCTGGGTCGGGAGCGTTTCGGAGCTGTCTGGCCGGTTAATGGCTCCAAAAACCACGTCCAATTGTGGCACGGCCACTCAAATACCTTTTCGCATGGCGAGGCTTCTGAAGCTAGTGAAGAGCTCCAAAAGCTCATGGCAAGGCTACTCAAACACGGGCAACTTGACGTGGCTTCTGAGCAGGGAAATGGGCGGGGAAACATCCGAGCAATCGGACGTGGTTTCTACGTCCGTTTGTGGCAGGCCATGAAAATACCTTTCTTGGGCGACTTGGGAAAAGGCCGGAGCTCGGGAATGGCTGGGCAAGAGCTCGGGAAATGGCTCTGAGCCACAGCTCCACAGACTGGAGCCTTGAAGAACCATCCGCAACCCTCCAGAAACGTTCAGCAACCACTCTGGGAAGGGAGTTCACAAACAAAAACACCCAAAGGCTGGCCTTCCTACCTTACCAGGACGTGCCAGGCCTGCGCGCCGAAAGCATCGCGGTTCTCTTGTGCGCGCCGCCTCGGGGAACTATCATGGTTTCCTTTGCCGTGACTCCCTGATCAAAAACCAGTCCACGTTTTTGTTTCTCTCACGGGCGGGCGGGGGGCATGCGGGCGTGAGTTTGCGTGCGTGTGCGTGCGTGTGCGTGCCTTGTCGTGGGTGTGTATCCGCGTGCGTGCGCGTGCATGTTTCTTTTTGAAGTGGTACCCTGGTCAGCGCGTTTGCCTCGGTTTTTGGAGGGCAACCAAAAAAGCCCACCTTTTTTGGAGGTCCAAGTCCCTATTCTGAAGCACACCGCAGACACACACACACACACACAAAAAAAAAAAGACCCCCCCCCCTTTCTGAGCACGGATCACCAGCCACGGCAGCACCTGCACACAGCAAAGCCCCCTCCCTTCCCCATGGACCTCCAGTGGCAGTTTTCTTGGGGGTCCCAACACTGAGTAGAAATTGCCAACTGCAAGGGACATCCGGTGACTCCCTAAAAAAAATGGCGAAGACTCCCTGATGTTCACCACAGAATGTGAGGCCCTCTGCATGGTGGTCTGCTTCCTTGGATTAATACCCTCGCAACCAGAGCATCTCAGTAATCCGAAACCCAGATGTTCACACTTCCGACTTCCCCTCCTCTTTGACCTCGCCAAAGACTAGCAATTTGGATGCCTGGGAAGCAGCCGTTCAAGAAAATGCAGTGTGCGCGCAAATCACCCCGCATGCGCTCAAGCCATGCGCCTTGAAAGTCAAACCGCTTTGCGACATGTCACAGAATCTGAGTCTTGAGGTCTCAACGTTGTAGCCTGCCAAACCCAAGCTGAAAGTGAGGTTGTCAACCTGCATGCGTGATTCACGGCCAGTGACATTCTCGGCTGAATATGCTCGCTTGGAACCTTTGTGAACAAAATGGCCAATGCAGCAAGACTCAGATTAGTTGCATCCCAGTCATAAAGCCTTGACACTGCTGGCAGAAGTGAAGCGCGTCTGGGGCACCATTCCAAAGATTTGGGCAAAGTGAACGCGAGGATGATCGCGTGCGAGGCCTAACCCAACGCATGGCAAAAATACACTAAACACTGTGCACACAAAAAGAGGTGTGTTCGGCGTTGGATGATTGACCTCTTGCGCAAATGCCCTTGGATGCCGTACTGGATGTTGCTGCAACCAAGTTGCCCAGCTGCTCCATCTTGGCCACAGCTTGATTTAAGGAGCATCGGTTGTGCGTCGCCAGCACCAACGCGGCAGATGGCCTGATATGCGACTGCAAACGTACAACGCCACAACGCAGCATTCCAGACATGGGCACTTGCATGCCGAAGCAAAGCAGACTGTCCGTGATGCAACGGAAATCGGTCAAAGCAAACATGCACGCTTATCTGTCTGCATCCCATATCCAGAAACGAAAGCAGGGCGTTTTATCAGCACAGGACAAGGGACCAGCTGAAAGTTCCAACATGGGACAGATGCCAAATGCCACAAGCTTCTCGACATGTAAGTCACAATCAAAACCTGGTACTAAAATGGTCTACATAACCATGTAAAGAATTAAGAAGGCGGCCGCAGCTATTTCTGGCTGGGACTGCCCCTACAAACCTTCATCTATGCGGATTTTGACTGTGGCTCATGTGGCATATCACTCCCCAGCTGAAAGCTATGGGGTCTGTGCCCAGATCTGCTCCGGGGTCCGGGGCAGCTCTGGGGTCCAAGGAGGGTTTCGCCGGTTCCGAGAAGGGTTCCGGGGATGTGTGGGGGTTCCGACTTCGTGCCTCATGCTGTTGGTGATCTCACCTGAGCTTACTTTGTTTTTTCCGACAATTCCATCTTCATATGCCTTGTGCAGCACAAGCAAAACAAAAAAGGCTCGAGCTTCGCATTCTGACGCTACCCTCGCCAGGCCTTTCCTGCGCAACGGACGAAAGCAGTCGCCCAGCCGCAGCATCAAAGGCTTCATCCGTGGCCTCCTTGCTTGGCGTCATCTTTGACTCAACCTTTCACCAAAATGCAGCCCTCTATCTTTGGCATCTCCCAGCATCAATGAGCACCTATGAGCAAGTATAAGCAGCATGAGCAAGTACAAGCACCTGTCAGCATTTATGAGCAGGAAGTACTTGTGAACACTTCTTAGCCAGTCATGCTGGCAGCTTGGCAGCGTAGCAACTTGGCAACTTTACTTGTCAGCTAACAGCAGCTGGCAATTGCCGTCCTTGGAAGAGTGGATGGAGCCTCGAGACTTCTCCTGAGCAATGAGCAGCATGCGACATGAACGGATGCCCGTCAATCCAACATATCTTTTACGTGCTCAGACGCGCCCGGTCCATTCAATTGAACTCTGCACACCGAGGGCTGATAAGCTCAAGCCAGACGCATGTTGAGCTTCTGGCCTGCTCCATATAGGCGCCTGCGCTCATGCTCAACGTTTTGTGCATCAATCTTTTAGCTACCAGACTCTCAGCTGCAAAGTCAAGAAAAATGCTGTCGGCTACTTTTGGGAACCATTGCCACCATTTCGTGTACGCTCGGTGGGTGCTGCTTCGCAGCCCAACTCCAAGCATTGTGCGAGGTGACGGAACTAAATTACAAGCCTTTCAGAAAACAATTCGAATGCGTGACATCGGACTTGCTGTATCCTAGTGGGATGGTTTCACCCGCACCAAGGCATAGCGTGTCAAAGAGTTTCAGAGATTGTCAAGCATGCAGTGCCTGCATCAACGTCTGCCTTCATTAAGCCCAGGTCATGAATGACATTGCGGAATCTGTCCTGCAAGAGCTCAGCTCTGCGCATTTGCTCTTGGAATTTGTTAGAAAGCTGCAAGAAGAGCTGATTCCATGCAGGCTCGTGGTCCTGCGTTGCCTTGTCAGAAGCATGGTTCAGTAATACTTCCCCCAAATATGTGTGCATCTTCGTCACATCCGGCTCTCGGATCTTCTGAGACTTCAAAACATAATGTGAAGTATCAATGGAGTTCAAAAGCGCTTCAGCCTTTGACAACAAAGGCTCCATCTCCTGCGGGACCAATGCTAGCTTCTCCAAAGGATTTGTTTGCTTGGTGACATCCGCTTTTTTCGGCGAGCTCGATTCAAGTGCTTCTCTGAAGGCATTGATCTCGTCTGAATTCGCCGACCTCGCCGAAGTCGATTTCGTTGGCTCCCGAATGAGCTGCATCTCCTCTCTCAAGGAGGCGATCATGTTGGTTTGTTCTTTGAGCTGGTCCTGCTGCTGTCGAAGTAAATCAACCACCTGAGCGGTCAAAAAAACAAGGCTCCCCCAAGCGTGCCCTGAGGTTGTGGGAAATTTATATAGAGCTCCCATGTCCCTCCCAAATGGCTCACAGACTGGGAATGTTCGCCAAACCTCACCTCATGCTGCACGAGCTTGCGCAAATCAGCGACCGAGTACTTGATGAGTGACTGCACAATGACTGGGTCACGATCCAGAAAGCTTGCAAGAAGTTGGCACAGCTGCAAATAAGACACTTCGCCTTTGTTCTCATCATCCACGACGCGAAAGACAGTGGCCAAGTCCTCTCTCCGGAGATCCAGGAGGTGCATCAACTTCGCCATGGCGTCGCTCTTGTCGCAGCCATTCATCATTTCTTCCAGGGAGAGCTTGCCATTTTTGTCCACATCCATCCTTGGTTGCTGTTGAACCCCCTGCAAAAAGTTGACAACTTCTTGGGGGGTTTAGAGGAAAACACCTAAGAATTCCCAAAAAGTTAAATTCTAAAGATCCAACCCAATAGCAGTCAAGCATCTCGCTGCAAAGCACAGCAAACTCCAGCATGTTCCGCGAGCGCTCCAGCTCCTTCTTCTTGAGCTTTTGGTCCTGGTCCTGGTCCCGGGCATCGGCGGCTTGCTCGACAATTACCTGAGTGTCCAAAATCCTTTGTAGAACTGCGTTCCACAAACGCTGCAAGCACTTCAGCTACAGCCCACTCTGCCGTTCCAAGCTATGACCAACATGCAACAGCGGCAATGCGCAAAGTCCTCACAATGAAGCCTCGGAATTCATCAGCACTGCCAAACAAAAACCTAGAGCTTGAATGAATGAATGAATGAATGAATGAATGAATGAATGAATGAATGAATGAATGAATGAATGAATGAATGAATGGAATGGAATGGAATGGAATGGAATGGAATGGAATGGAATGGAATGGAATGGAATGGAATGGAATGGAATGGAATTGAATTGAATTGAACGAACGAACGAATGAATGAATGAATGAATGAATGAATGAATGAATGAATGAATGCATGCATGAATGCATGCATGAATGCATGAATGCATGATGAATGCATGAATGCATGCATGCATGAATGCATGAATGCATGAATGCATGAATGCATGAATGCATGAATGCATGAATGCATGAATGCATGAATGCATGAATGCATGAATGCATGAATGAATGAATGAATGCAATGAATGAATGCAATGCAATGAATGAATGAATGCATGAATGAATGAATGAATGAATGAATGAATGAATGAATGAATGAATGATGAATGAATGAATGAATGAATGAATGAATGAATGAATGAATGAATGAATGAATGAATGAATGAATGAATGAATGAATGAATGAATGAATGAATGAATGAATGAATGAATTAATAAATAAATGTAAATATGGGCATCCAGTTTTGTGTGAGCACGTCAAATTGGCCCCATGAAATCGCGACATTCAGCGGCTTTCCAAGCACTGACGACTGTTTCTATGGACTGGCTAAGCTGAAGGGATCAACGAACTGCGAGACAGTCATCAGCTCAAAATGGCTAGCTTGACTGGCATCAAAATTGTGCCTTCAGCAAATGCTTGTTCCAGCAGAAGAAAACAACATGAAGGGGGTCGCGAATGCTCACTATGTGCTTTCTACTTCTCAAAACAATGCATGTCAGGCTGCAGCCAATATCAAGTTCAACACGCCCATCGAGATGGTGATCAGCATGACAAAGAGCAAAGGGGCAGTCCAGGGCGCCATCTCCGCCAGCGGTACCGAGATCTCCCCCCAGGAGTCTCCAGCCACGATCTGTTGGAAGAGCGTGAGCGCGGCTGACCCAACCGACGAGAAGCCAGTGGAGCATCGGAGGCACTGGGGATAGATAATCTGGGCCACAATGGGGTGTAGGAACTCTACTGAGATCACCGACCAAAAGGCGATCACGACCACCAATAGCAGCGACCCGAAGATAATGGCCTTCATGGACGAGGCCAAGCCGCTAATGAGAAGGTAAAACTCTGGGATGGAAATGAAGACGCGAGCAGCTCTTAGGATACGAACCAATCTGGTAATCCGCATAAGACTGAAATCAATGGTACCAGCCAGGGAAGCACTAAACCATCCAAGCACGACGATCAGTAAGTCCGTCATATTCCAGTAGTTGCAGAAGAAGTGGGTCGTTTCCACTAGCAAGCGAGCGCTGCATTCCAGGGTATACACTGTGAGAAAGGAAACGTTGGAAAAAACCAACCATGATATGCCTTCACTTCTGGTAGGACAGTCATGGAGGTTGTCTGTGAAGGCCGGATAGCATTTTGCATCCTGGTCAGCTTCATACACGATGAAACACAGGTTCACCATGATGATCACTCCCATGAGGGTCTCAAATGCTTGTGTAAATACGATCCGGGCCATCCATACTCGGGGCCAACTCCACACGCGATTGCCGTGCTCATCAAGCCAAGGGTATTTTTTGCCGTGAGCATAGCGCAAGCTGTTGATCTGCTCCAAGGTCTTGTCCAAGTGGTTGGACTCCAAAGAGGCTTCGAGTTCCTCAAGGCTGAGGTCCGTCAGGAGACGCGAGGGTCTCCTGAACTCGTCCTCTAGGTAGCTATGTGACCCAGGACCCATTGGATCTTCGGACGAAATACCCAAATCTCACTGTGGCTTGAAGCACAGCACTGCGGGGCAAATGCATCGGACCCTGACACACGACGGACCACGTCCATCATCCATGGATTCTAGGGAACTTGCCAGGCCAATCACAACGCCCTATGGGAAACTTTGCACCGTTTGCTCTTGCTCTTTCAAGCCATGTCAAGTGTTTGCCGCGCACGCAAATCAAGCTGAAGCACAATAGTGCATCACCCTCAAAGGAAATCGAAGCTATCACTGTCCTTCCCATTGAGCTTGCGCTATCTGCGCGAGTGCCCGCAATGCTTCCAATTTTGCTGGCGTGGCTTTGCTTTGAGCAGCGAACACCCGAGCCTCGGACCAGTTTGACGGCGCACACATAGCCATGCTGGCCAGCTGAGCGCAAAGCCTGCGCAAAAGATACCATGAAATCACGAGATCTCAAGCTGTCAGCAGCGTAAGCATTCAGCAGCCAGTCCTGATCTAGCCGCGCGGGCGAAGCTTTGAGATACCTGTCACGCAGTGGCCGTACCCCGGGGCGTGGAAGTACACTGTCAATCCATCGCTTCAATTGCATCGCATTTCGCAGAAAAATAAGCGCTCTTCAAAAGGGACAAGCCGACGAGCTCTCGATCTGTCCAGTCATCAAGCGCTAAGCATTTGCCAGCAACACATCTGAATTGTGTCATAGACCACAATGTCCTGATGCAGTCAATTGGGCGCCCAATTCTGGCTGTGCACATTGCACTCATTGGATTTTCAGTAGCATGTACATGGACACCTGGTTTCCATGGTGGGCCTGGACCTACAGTCACGTTCCCTCCAGGCCTGACGATTGAACTCTTTTTGCAGCTCCTGGGCCAAGACGTGTACCTCGGTTGCGGTGCACGGCTGCTGGCTGGAAGCTTGAGACGAAAACAGGTCCGGCATCTGGCCATGGGTCAAAATCCAAATCCTACCCCCAGTGAACATCCCAATCCAACCACTAGAAATAGGTTCTAAAATGGCTGGTGAATTCACCTACCCCAAAATGGTATCTGATTGGTTTTGACCACCACAGCATGAGCCCTGCGGTGCAAGAGGATCAAATGACTTCGGCTTTCCCCCAGCCGAAGAGCTGCTGGTTGCCGGTTGGATTGCTCAGCATCCAGCAACACGGGAACAGCCTCGGCAGACCGCAGGTTCCCATAGAAAATGTGTGCTGTCCATCTGGTTGACAGCCACCAGGCTTCGAACTGCATCTTTGGCAGCCTCCAAAATGAGCATGCGGCTGCATGTGCGTGCTGCGCTCCGGATTCCAGGGGGCCTTTCGGCACACCCTGCCTGACAAATCAGGCGGAGGCGCCCCAAGGCAGCAGCCACGTCTTCCGTGCAAAGCGCAGCGGCCGCGTCCTGAAGGCAAGAGATGCAACAACCTCGGCCAGCCAAGTGAGCGACCGAGCAAGCGAAGCAATGCAATGCAACGAAATGCAATGCAATGCAAGCTCTGCTGGTTTGCCACGAATGTCCTGAGAGCTGGGAGTTGCCTGGACAAGGCTTGCTCAGCACACCCTCAGCAGTCTGCAACAGCTCGGTACGTGCCTCCAAAGCAGAAGTGAGGCTCTCCAAAAGCTCCTCAGTAAAATGTACATCGCTATCCTGGCAAGAAGCCCCAATAAGCTCCTCTTCAAACATGTGTAAACTACTGTACTGGTGCTTAACTCCTTCATTCTGGTTGTTTGAAGAAATGTTGCCTAACCCTGGTCCACACTGATCTGATGCCAACACCAACCAAGCGCCCAGCAGGTGACAGTAGCGATGTCAGCTTGATGGGCATGAAGGCAGCACTTGGGCCGAGCACCTTGCGCCAGTGAAACGGCGGTGACTCGCACTGCGAAGCTCTCGCCTCTTTTGCGCGTTGCAGCGTCTCCACCTGCAATTCTGCACTGTTCTCCAAATCCAGCAGCGTGCAGCTTGCCCAACAGCTCGCTCAACCGCTCGCGCGTGTGCGGTCCGTTCGCTGCGCCTTTCTCTGCGTGTTCAAATCCCAGGCATCAGGCCGGCTGCTTTCCTGACAATAGGGAACTCGCGCGGCCCAGGCCCAACCTACCTTGAAATCGCCTCCACTCCCCAGTCCACGATGCACCTCACACCTGTCGTAAAAATTTTGTGAGACGCAGTCACGAGACTAAGCATCTTACAAACCATACCAGGGTGGCACTGAAAGAATGCGCTTTCACACCTCTACGCCATCTAACCAACCAACCAACCAACCAACCAACCAACCAACCAACCAACCAACCAACCAACCAACAACCAACCAACCAACCAACCCATCCAAACAATCAGTCGGTCGGTCGGTCGGTCGGTGAATGCATGCATGCATGCATGCATGCATATGAATGAATGAATGAATGAATGAATGAATGAATGAATGAATGAATGAATGAATGAATGAATGAATGAATGAATGAATGAATGAATGAATGAATGAATGAATGAAATGAAATGAAATGAAATGAAATGAAATGAAATGAAATGAAATGAAATGAAATGAAATGAAATGAAATGAAATGAAATGAAAATGAAATGAATGAATGAATGAATGAATGAATGAATGAATGAATGAATGAATGAATGAATGAATGAATGAATGAATGAATGAATGAATGAATGAATGAATGAATGAATGAATGAATGAATGAATGAATGAATGAATGAATGAATGAATGAATGAATGAATGAATGAATGAATGAATGAATGAATGAATGAATGAATGAATGAATGAATGAATGAATGAATGAATGAATGAATGAATGAATGAATGAATGAATGAATGAATGAATGAATGAATGAATGAATGAATGAATGAACGAATGAATGAATGAATGAAGAATCAATCAATGAATGAATGAATGAATGAATGAATGAATGAATGAATGGAATGAATGGAATGAATGGAATGAATGGACTGAATGGAATGAATGGAATGAATGGAATGAATGGAATGAATGAAATGAATGAAATGAATGAAATGAATGAAATGAATGAAATGAATGAAATGAATGAAATGAATGAAATGAATGAAATGAATGAAATGAAATGAAAATGAAATGAAATGAAATGAAATGAAATGACATGAAATGAAATGAAATGAAATGAAATGAAATGAAATGAAATGAAATGAAATGAAAATGAAATGAAATGAAATGAAATGAAAATGAAATGAAATGAAATGAAGTGAAATGAAATGAAATGAAATGAAAATGAAATGAAATGAAATGAAATGAAATGAAATGAAATGAAATGAAATGAAATGAAATGAAAGGAAACTAGACCACGGTTGGCCCGAAAGCAGAACATCGCAAGCGAGGTCGGCCCAACGCTGCAGGATGCGTTCTTTTTCCCTACACGAAGCATTCGTGAAGCAAGCGCGAGACAGCACCAGGCAAGGTGCTCTGCGCAAACTGGTCGGTGCAAGTTGGTCTGCGCAAGTTGCTCTACGCAAGTTGCACTGTGCAAGTTGCTCTGCGCAAGTTGCTCCGCGCAAGTTGCTCCGGCAAGTTGGTCCCTGCAAGTGGCTCCCTGCAAGTTGCTCTGTGCAAATTGCGCTCCCTGCAAGTTGCTCTGTGCAAGCTGCTCTGTGCAAGTTGCTCTGTGCAAGTTGCTCTGCGTAAGTTGCTCTGCGCAAGTTGCTCTAGGCAAGGCGCTCTGCGCAAACTGGTCGGTGCAAGTTGGTCTGCGCAAGTTGCTCTGTGCAACTTGCTCTGCGCAAGTTGCTCTGCGCAAGTTGCTTTAAAATGCAAGTTGCATCTTGCGACGCCCGCCCGCGGACCAGGGAGGAATCGAACCCACGACCCGCCGGTTCCGGGAGCAGCGCGCGAACCACGAGACAACTCCCGAGGACCAGTTCGAACAACAAAAAAGTCGCAAAAACCTCGAGTTTTTGCACCTCCACCACGCCGATTCCCGCAGAGGGTTGCGCGAGCACCGTGGAAATCGCAAAAAACCATGGGTTTTTGCACCTCGACCACGCCGATCCCCGCAGAGGGTTGCGCGAGCACCGCAGAAATCGCAAAAAACCATGGGTTTTTGCACCTCGACCACGCCGATCCCCGCAGAGGGTCGCGCGAGCACCGCAGAAATCGCAAAAAACCATGGGTTTTTGCACCTCGACCACGCCGATCCCCGCAGAGGGTCGCGCGAGCAGGTTAGAAATCGCAAAAAACCATGGGTTTTTGCACCTCGACCACGCCGATCCCCGCAGAGGGTCGCGCGAGCAACTTAGAAATCGCAAAAAACCATGGGTTTTTGCACCTCGACCACGCCGATCCCCGCAGAGGGTCGATTTTCGTGTAGTGTCGTCGGCACTACCCCGCCGCCCTAAGAAGAGATTTTAACTCCTCGCAAGTCAATTGCACTTGACTCCTTGCACTTGCAACTTGCACTTGACTCCTTGCTTGTTTCAAGGAGTCATTGCAAGGAGTCATTGCAAGGAGTCATTCATTGCAAGGAGTCATTGCAAGGAGTCATTGCAAGGAGTCATTGCAAGGAGTCATTGCAAGGAGTCATTGCAAGGAGTCATTGCAAGGAGTCATTGCAAGGAGTCATTGCAAGGAGTCATTGCAAGGAGTCATTGCAAGGAGTCATGAGAGCCATTGCAAGTTGCAAGGAGCCAAGTGCATGGAGTCAAGTGCAAGTCGCAAGTGCACGGAGTTAAGTGCAAGTTGCAAGTGCAAGGGGTGCCAAGTGCAAGGAGCCAAGTGCAAGGAGCCAAGTGCATGGAGTCAAGTGCAAGTTGCAAGTGCATGGAGTCAAGTGCAAGTTGCAAGTGCAAGGAGTCAAGTGCAAGTTGCAAGTGCAAGGAGTCAAGTGCAAGTTGCAATCCTTGCCATGACTCCTTGCAATGACTCCTTGCAATGACTCCTTGCAATGACTCCTTGCAATGACTCCTTGCAATGACTCCTTGCAATGACTCCTTGCAATGACTCCTTGCAATGACTCCTTGCAATGACTCCTTGCAATGACTCCTTGCAATGACTCCTTGCAATGACTCCTTGCAATGACTCCTTGCAATGACTCCTTGCAATGACTCCTTGCAATGACTCCTTGCAATGACTCCTTGCAATGACTCCTTGCAATGACTCCTTGCAATGACTCCTTGCAATGACTCCTTGCAATGACTCCTTGCAATGACTTTCATGATGATGATTCCTTGCAATGACACCTTGTAATGACTCTCATGAGAACAACTCAAGTGAACCCAGCGGAAGAACCCTTCGCCATGCTTTCGGGAAAATGAAATGAAATGAAATGAAATGAAATGAAATGAGATGAAAATGAAATGAAATGAAATGAAATGAAATGAAATGAAATGAAATGAAATGGAATGGAATGGAATGGAATGGAATGGAATGGAATGGAATGGAATGGAATGGAATGGAATGGAATGAATGAAAAGAAATGAAATGAAATGAAATGAAATGAAATGAAATGAAATGAAACGGAATGGAATGGAATGGAATGGAATGGAATGGAATGGAATGGAATGAAAGAAATGAAAAGAAAAGAAATGAAATGAAATGAAATGAAATGAAATGAAATGAAATGAAATGAAATGAAATGAAATGAAATGAAATGAAATGAAATGAAATGAAATGAAATGAAATGAAATGAAATGAAATGAAATGAAATGAAATGAAATGAAATGAAATGAAATGAAATGAAATGAAATGAAATGAAATGAAATGAAATGAAATGAAATGAAATGAAATGAAATGAAATGAAATGAAATGAAATGAAATGAAATGAAATGAAATGAAATGAAATGAAATGAAATGAAATGAAATGAAATGAAATGAAATGAAATGAAATGAAATGAAAATGAAATGAAATGAAATGAAATGAAATGAAATGAAATGAAATGAAATGAAATGAAATGAAATGAAATGAAATGAAATGAAATGAAATGAAATGAAATGAAATGAAATGAAATGAAATGAAATGAAATGAAATGAAATGAAATGAAATGAAATGAAATGAAATGAAATGAAATGAAATGAAATGAAAATGAAAATGAAAATGAATGAATGAAATGAAATGAAATGAAATGAAATGAAATGAAATGAAATGAAATGAAATGAAATGAAATGAAATGAAATGAAATGAAATGAAATGAAATGAAATGAAATGAAATGAAATGAAATGAAATGAAATGAATGAATGAATGAATGAATGAATGAATGAATGAATGGAATGGAATGGAATGGAATGGAATGGAATGGAATGGAATGGAATGGAATGAATGAATGAATGAATGAATGAATGAATGAATGCATGAATGCATGCATGAATGCATGCATGCATGCATGCATCCATGAATGAATGAATAAATGAATGAATGAATGAATGAATGAATGAATGAATGAATGAATGAATGAATGAATGAATGAACAAACGAACGAACGAATGAATGAATGAATGAACGAACGAACGAACGAACGAATGAATGAATGAATGAATGAATGAATGAACAAACGAACGGACGAACAAATGAACGAATGAACGAACGAACGAACGAACGAGAGCCGGGTAACAGGGCAGAATTTGAGCAGACTTCAGCTCGTGCGTGACAGAGCCAGCGCATCGCAGGATCGCCCGACCAAGCCCACGCGGCATCGCAGCCCGATATTCCAGATCACACACGGCCTCAGCCTGAAAGGCACTGGCGCTGCGGCCACCAACATCAGCAGACAGCGGAGGCTCGCGATCCGTCATTGACACAGGCGACCGCCAGGCACAGCACAACAGCGCGTCACCCGAGCGCCGGGCGCTAAGAAAGAGCAAGAGAAGGCTGTGACCACACTGCGAGACACAGGGGCGCAAAGCCTATCCCGCAGTGGGGGGGAGCGAACGCGCTTGCCCCGTGACAGATGGAGCCCAACGTTTGAAGGGGCCTGACAAAAGAGCTCGGCCGCAAGCGAGACTGTAGAGCCCAAAAAAAAACAACAACAACAAACAAGCAACTAAGCCAGACAGGCGGCAAAGAAACCAACCCAAAAAACAAAGAGGCGGGGCGGAGCAATGGGGCAGCGAGGAAATGAGGTTGGACGGCGGGCTGCTTAGATGCGAAACTGCGCTCAAGTACACTGCATTCACTAGCCGTGTGAGCCGAAAGCAAGGCGAGGCCGCTCTAAAGGCGCAACAACACGCCAAGGAGCCGACCACTCGCAAGAAGTCAAGAACCGCATGTGTCACAACATGCAAATGTTTTGCTTGTGGAGCAAAGGTCAGAAAAAGGCACCCAACCGCAGTGTCCACTTAGCGCCCAAGTTCATTGGCTACGATCTGCCGGAGACGGTGGCGCACAAGTGAGGGGCTGACGCTAAGGAAGGTCTGCCTGAAAGCGTCAGCCAGACTGGGACAACGTTGCGAGGAGAGAGGACCCACTGAAGATTAACTGGTTCAGGAAGGCGCTGAGGAGTCGGGTGAGGTAGGCGAGCGACCTGGTACGGAGCAAGACGCGCGGAGCGCCCTCCACTCCGCCACCACCTCCACCAACCTGAGATGGCTGAAATTGACAAGCTCTGCCACTACCTTTGCCTCACCCTTCGCGCCCCTTCCCTTCCCCTTTGCCACGTGGGGGACACACGCGAGGAGAAGACTCACGCGCGCAGGGAGGAGCAGGACGACGAGGAAGTTTTGGGCACCCAAGCTGGTCCGACGGGCCGTGGGAGCGCGGCGGACTGGCCGACAGGGCCAAGGAGGATTAGCGATGTCCTCCCAGAAATTGACGAACCTCTCCGCGTTTCCATAGCCACAATAGCGCGCGGCGCCGCAGCTCGTCAGCCATGGTCGCACCGAGGAACAGGCCAGGCAGGGCAATAGATGCTGGGATCCAAGACATAAAGTGACAAGATGCTGCAACATCAAGCCATGTGCAGGCACCTGCTCTGGGCACTCTCGCAACAAAGCGAGGACCCATTTTTTGTAGCCCGTCTAACTCCAAGACGCCAAATGAAGAAGAAGAGGAAGCAGCGTGGAAGGAAGTGCTGTCACGCCTGCGAGGGTTAAGGGACCGGGGGAGGGTGCTCGTCCACGCGGAGGCCTTAGCGCTGTGCCTGGGGTCCACACTCCCCCTGAGGCCCCCAAAACCCATCTGCATTGCAGGCCCCAGGCAAGTCAAATCAAATCAATTCTGTCAATCAATCCAATCAACCAATCAATCAACCCAACCAATCAACCAATCAACAATCCAATCAACAATCCAATCAACCAACCAACCAACCAACCAACCAACCAACCACCCAACCAACCAACCAACCAACCAACCAACCAACCAACCAACCAACCAACCAACCAACCAACCAAGCAACCAACCAACCAACCAACCAACCAACCAACCAACCAACCAACCAACCCGTCAATAAATTAAATCAACCAACCAACCAACCAACCAACCAACCAACCACCCACCCATCCATCCATCCATCCATGCGTCCTTCCGTCCCTACGTCTTCCGTCCTTCTGTCCTTCCGTCCTCCTTCCGTCCATCCGTCCATCCGTCCCTCTGTCCATCCATCCGTCAAATCAATCACACATCAATTCAAACTGAAACAAAACTACTGCAAACCAAACCCGCCAAACAAACCAAACAAGCCAAAATCAAACCAGACAAGCCAAATCAATCCAAATTGAAAAACGCAAGACAAAACCAAAACCCAACTAACCAAGCCAAACCAAGCCAAACCAAGCCAAACCAAGCAAACCAAGCAAACCAAACAAACCAAACAAACCAAAGAACCAAACTAACCAAGCCAAACCAAACAACCCCACTCCCACAAAAAAAAAAAAAACAGGCAAACAAACAAACAAACAAACAAACAAACAAACAAACAAACAAACAAACAAACAAACAAACACAACAAACACAACAAGAAAAGGCAAGAACGACAAACAAACAAGCAAGCAAACAAACAAACAAACAAGCAAGCAAACAAACACAAACGAACAAACAAACAACACAAATTGACTAACTAGTAGCAAAGCTAAGCAACCAACTAACTGCCTAACCGTCGAACACACAAACGTTCAAACTTAATGGCGCCTGCGCACTCCTGGAGGCTTTGTGCAGTGCTTACGCAGTCCTTGCGCAAACGGGCAGCGGCAAACAGCAACCCTAGCCCCGTGAAGGGTCTTAGAACCCTTCCAAAAACCCCTAAGGTTCTATTCACCTTTCTGGGGGTGACCTGTGGGAAATGGCAACCAAACCCGCCAATTGCAATATGCTGAGACATGCAAAAGAATCGTCCAAATTGAACAGCGCCTCTGTGCTATTGAGCCATGTGCTGAGAAGAAGTGTCTTGCACTACTCCAAAAAAGCGTCATTGACATCCCGAAACATTGATCCTCCAGTTGCTCACCGCCACAGAAGTGAGAGAAGGCAGTCGCTCGCACCTGAACACCAAGCTCACCCAACAGCATATACCAATTCAGTGGATGCATCTGTCAACGCTGCCGTCTCAGCATCAATGCCACCTTCATGTTCCAAGTGCCGCCGCGCCACACACGCCAAGAACACCCTGCTCAGAGGGTTCTCTGGCCTCTTGCTAATCCAGCCTCGCTCATTGAGTATCCGAGCTTTTCTGAAGTGTGATCCACCTGTCTACATTGTGGACAAAGCTTCAGCCTCTCTGTGAGACCCCCTAGCGGGCCTCGCAAGTGTGTTTCCTCAATTCTCACAAGCACGCTCATTTCACTCAATTCTCACAAGTCAAATGTGCCATTGTTTGCACTTTTTTCAACATTGCCAAAGAACGCTGGTCAATTCCTTCCCCCCCCCCTCCGGTTGGATTCGTGAGAATTGAGCGAGTTTAGGGTTGAGGAATTTTAGTGCTTTGGGTTTAGTTTCAGGGTTTTAGGGTTTACATTTAAGCTTTTTTAGGTTTCGAGTTGTGTGTCGGTTTTTTAGGGTTTAGCTTAAAGGCTTTTAGGGTTTAGGTTTGGGGTTTAGGGATTTTAGGGTTCACGTTCTGGGTTTTTACGGTTTAGGGTTTAGGGTTTAGGGTTTTCGTCGGGTTTAGGACTCGGGGTTTTGGTGTTTTAGGGCTAAAGGGTTAAGGGTTCAGGGTTTGGGGTCTAGGGTTTCCACGGTTTAGGTTTTTAGGGTTTAGGTTTAGGGTTGCTAGGGGTTAGGTTTAGGGTTTTATATGGATTAGGCTTCGTTTTTGAGGTTTACGGTTTAGGGTTTATGGTTTAGGGCTTAGTCTAGGGTTTAGGTTTGGGTTTTTAAGGTTTAGGGTCTATGGTTTTTAGGGTTTAAATGAGTAGATCGGACTCGTGAGAATTGAGGGAATTCGACTCGTGAGATTTAAGTGCGCTTCCCCCTAGCGGGAAATCCCCACTCGAAAGGAGATTCCCTTGGTTCAGCACTCCTTTCACTCTGAGCTTGCCGCTCTCGACCTTGGAGCCAACATCCACTATGCCTCGGTGCCTGCAAAGCGAGAGCAGCAGCCTGGCATCCCGACAATGCAACGAGCGCCAGCAGCTCACAAGCGCGCAGGGAATGCCACGAGAAGACCAACTGGCGCGTGGAGTAGGCGGCATAAATGGCCTCACAGAAAAAGAAGAAGAAGAAGAAAAAAAAAAGCTGGCCCGGTCAAACGACCCACGCAAATGAGCAAGAACAAGATCACGCCCTCCTCCCCCAAGTTGTTTGTGGCTCAAATGCAAATGGTACTCCCCCCGTTCATCGACTACTGGTAATGTTGTAGGTTGCTCGCATGAAGCAAATTAACAAGCAAACATTCCCTGCCGAAACACTGCAATGCGATAAACTCAAACTGGCCTTGTGTCTGAACCAAAAATCGAGCCATCACGGTGCAAAACAACAGAGCACATTTCTGCGCAGAATCATGAAATCAATCCGCAGCAGGAGACAAACAAGCAAGCAGAGACGCGAGCTGTCAGGCCGTTGCGCAAGCTTCACAAATGTTGCCTGAATCTAGTATTGCTATTGGCTTTGATGAATAGCCTTCCAATGCTCATGTCTGCAGCGGCTTCAATCTCGCCTTCGGGAAGAGGAGGCCTCCTGTGCCATTCATTAACATGCTCACGAGCGAGTCGGCGCCGGCCACGCGCCAGCGCGCGCGCTCTGCGGAAGCCAATCACATCAGAATCCAGAGGCCGCCAGGACCGCATCGATGATGGAGTTAAAAGTCGGGCTTGGTCGAAGTGCCTGTGACGTCAAGAAGGGATCTGGGAAGTAGTACCCACCTTAGATGCTAGACCGGAAAGCTTCAAATCAAACTGAAGACATTCCGACTATGGTTCGCCAGCTGCTGTCTTCATGTCGTGCTGCTGGCGGGTGAATTACACAAAATCAGCCAAGATCCTTCAAAATCTCCCTGCTACCTCCTTACGCCTCTAGTACACCTTCTTCGAAGCGAGAGGCACAAGCCAGCGTGTGTGTGTGTGTTGCTTACAATATTGACATCTCAAAATGGAATTCATTCAGCCATCTTTGCCAGCACAGGGCTGCATTGGCCTTATCCGATTTGCGGCCAAGATGCCCAAGTCCTGGCACGTAGAGCACAATTGCGTAGCAACGAATGTTAGCGAATGCTGACTGCGGCTCCACGCCGTTCGACTTGGAGCACCAACTCTTGGGCTATGAAAAACATGTGAGTCTTGGTGACTCACTACACCTCACCGTTTCAAACGAAAGCCATGCCTGCGGCTTCCCCTCCGCCGCAATAAGTTCTCCTCAGCGATCACACGCTGAAGCCACGCTGCTCACCCCTCCCGTTTTGGGGAAGCTTTCGGGAGGCGCCCGGTGAGGAGTTCGAGTCAGCTTGCGGGACCCTGCCCCGTGCCAAGGCGCCCAGGATCTTTGCTTCGGAGCTACGGAGTTGCATGGCGACGGGCTTGAACCGCTCCTGGCCCATGCTGGAAGAAAAATGAAAGATTGTTGTATTGGCTAAATCATTTGGACCCCAACAAAAGAGGTGGTTTACCTTTGAAATCAATTTTAGAAGGAACATTGGTACCCTTACAGTAAAAGATAGGCACCCGCAAATGATGTTGACCTTGTTCTGTTCAAGTCAATGGCTCTTTCAGCTCAAGCGCCTGCAGCATGCCAGACTCGGTCTGCGCCGCAAGAGCCTCTCAGCCCATGTGCACTGACATCGAGCCAAACTGGCACGTGTACATACCTAAAGGAACACCCTCGGGAGTATGTTCATATCTCTAGGAGTTGCCCAGATGTTTCTTTAAGGGCTCGAGCAATTGCTTCACGCCGATAGCCACACGTGCCAGACTCAAGCTTGGCATGTCTGCACTCATCTCAAGCGATGCCTCCGCCCAGAACATGGCCAGGTAGAAGTGCGACCCGCGGTTGTCCAGCTCCATGACCTGGCAAAACAAAACAAACAACACAACCGGAACGGGGCGTGGGGCGTGCGACTTGGCAAGTGACCACATCCCCTGCTCAAAGCTGCATATCAATAGAAGCTGACAATGCAATACAACGTACAGTCGACCGGAAGATCTCTGGCTGCTGCCTTTCTTTTGGGCGACTTGCCAGTGTTGAGCAGCTGACCTGCACGAAGCAAGTCCATTCGAGGTGCGACCGCTCGAAGATCAAATGAACAAATGGGTATGGGTCAACATTGAACCACCAGGGGACCGCAGGTTCTAGTCTTTGGCTCCATTTATCAGGGTTCCATTTTGGGTACATATTTTTGACCCACTGGTTTGCCTGTGCGTTTGCTCTCTCTCACTCCTGCCTACGGCTGTGGAGAGGGTGTCTGCCATGACCTTGGCGTCTGGATTGCTGGTCTTCTGGGCAACGTCCTGGGCATCGTAAGCTGCCGAGCCCACCCGCATTAGGGAAGAAAAAAAGCAGCGCCTCGAGAGCCACTGCCATGGCCAGGAATTCGCCCAGCGAATCCCAGCCTCAGAAAGTTTGGAGTCAAGAAATGTCACAAAGAAAAAGGCGGTTGGATGTGTAAGCACATGACAGAGCAAACTCTGCCGATCCCTCGTACACTCTGCAAGATCCCACGCTTGAAACGTTCTGCCCAGCTGCGCAGGTGGCCCTCCTTCACAAACTGCTGCACGTGCTTCGGGGCGGATCCGCCTGTCGCAAGCGGCCAAGGTCAAGCGAGTCTCTTGGGCTGTCCACACTGTCCACACCTGCGCCCGTCTCGAACATGCCGCCGCCAGCCAGCAAGGGTACCACCGAAAGCCTGAGGCTGCCCAGACTCAAGTGAAAGGGCTGCCCAGCTAGGCCGCTAGGGGCATGCCACGAGCCTTTTCGGGATAGCTGGCATGTTGAGGATAGGCGCTCCCGCCCAGAGGCCAGGCACAAACATGTTTGCCGAACAGCTTCTTTCCCTTGCGTCATAAGTCTATGCCAGCAGAGAGGGAGGTTGGGGCGTGATTTGGTGCTCACACAAGAAGAGTTGGGGCAAGTTGCATTTTCGCGCTCGTCCCCAGCTCCAGAATCGGGAAGAGGTCTGTCAAGTAGTCACCTGCAAGTGTTCCGCTCCACTTCCAGCTCTCTGCAGAACACAGCTGGCTCTCTACATCCCCACCGACCACAACTTCCAGAGATATTTTGACCCTGGCACATATCAGACAAGCCACGCAGAACGTTGCCAGTCACAGAGATGGTGTCCAGCCCTTGCCGCGCGCGCTCAAGAGTGACTTTCATGGCCTTGGTGACATCGAAATTCTATCCGCAAGGCATGGCATGGCGAAGGCCACCTGTGGTGCTGTAGGTTGGTTCTTACACATCTGGGGCAAACTTTCTGCGGACTTGGAAGGCAAATATATTTCAGCTCGCCACCTCCTCTGGAGCTAGGATGCGAATGTCCAAACCTGCACCAGGTTTGGAATCCTGAATAAAAAGCACAACGTCTGTGCCGCAAATGTCCTGCATATCTATCTGATCCCAGTGCCCTTGAAAGTGTCCGTTTCCTCCCCACCACAGCACTCCGCTCACCCGACCACGCCTTCCGTGTTGTGCTTCTGCAAGTACTCCTCGACCTTTGAGATCACGCTGCGGTCATGGGCACGGTCTGCAGTGAGCCAGAAAATGGCTGGCCTCGGCAAACGAGGCAGAGCTAAATCTGAAGAAGCAACAGAGGTTCGACGCTCTTGATCGAGTGCCGCGCACGTTTGTGGCACGAGCTCGAGCAACTGCCAGCTTCACCCAGTCTTGGATCGGGCCGTCTTTCGTTTGGCCTAGGTGACCGTGATACCTATGCGAGATTTCGGCTTCGCACTGTAAATGCTGCACAAGGCCCAAACACATGCGGAAAACGTCGCCCTTTGCCACATCATGGGACATCAGCACCTGAAAAACACTCTCTCTCTCTCTCTATCTCTCTTATTCCTTTCAAAGACGCTTGGACTAACTTTTTTCTCGTGATGTCGCACGGCTAGCCTCTTCCTTTCCACGAAGCACCACTTGCATCTTGCCATCCTGCTCAAAAGACAGCTCATTTTGTTCTTAGCTGAAGATAGCTTCCACTGCCCCCAAACCACCACCCCTAGAGCGGATGTTTGTCCCCATGAAACCCCTGGAACTAGTGGTTTGGGGCTAGCGAAGCCATTGTACAACACAGTTTCTCTGTCCCATCCCCCGCAAGTCACAATGCCAAGCTCAGCTGTCTGCAGGGTTGGGCCAACCTTCTGTTAAAACATGCTTAAACATCTGTTGCTCAAACATCCTCCTCTTGGCTCCCTTTAAAGGGGACCAACGTCTGGTGATTTTTCGCAACCAGTTTGCAAAAGTCGAGAAATGGGCCAGGGTATGGTTCTTTGAACAAACCATTGAGACAACAAAGAACCCCGCCTTGACCTAATTTGGAGGCTCAGTCTTTGGGGAGGCTTCTGGACTCGTGTCCTCTGGGACCATGAAGGTCTTGTCGTGGGAGCCATACTCCTCAGCCTTCGCGGCCATGAGCCCCACGTTGGAAGTAGCACCTGAGAAATGCGCAGATTAAGGCTGTGGCTCGAAAAGCATGGCCCTTGGTAAATGGAAACAAAGACTAAAACCTGTGGACCCCTGGCGCTTCAATTGGAGCCGCACCCACAACCCACAAACCGTTCAGCCTTTCCCCCAATCTCGAAAAAGCAGATGGTACTTCCCCAAGTTCACATGGAACCGCTGGACAGGACCCCAAAACAACAATGATTGGAGAAACTGGCTGGACTTAAACAGCTTCAGTTGATGGTTTGGATTCATGGTTTGGAGGTTCGGGGCGGTTTCTCATTCAAACCCTCAAAAGAAACGTGGGTTCAAATCCCCAAACCACCAAGCCAAACCACCAACTAAGTAAAAAAACTGACTTAAGTTGTGCCGCTGTACCTATCTTGGAAGGATCCAACTTGCCATTGGCCTGGCAATCCTTGATGATAACATCATAGATGCCCGCATAGCAACGATCCGGGATGACAAACTTTGCATCGCACAGAGTGTCGTCCTGGCCAAAAAAACAACGGCACGCAAGGTAGTGCATTGGTGTCTGTGTGTGTGTGTGTCTGTTTGCTAGCCTTTTTGAGGTGGTTCAAAGAGAAAGCAAAGGGAAACCACCGACTTGCTTGAAGGAGGGGTATATATGAACCCTCATGCTTTTTTCGCAAGTGTGTATGCTTCCTTTTAAGCCTCCCTCTCGGGTATGGTCATGGCTCCTTTCCTGGTTGTGCTGTAACGGTGCAATGAAAAGGATCGACTTGAGCAAGCAAGTCTTTTGACCATATAGCAACAGCAGTCGCATCCCACCTTAGTCCACATTTGTCCAGCATCTCGCACTGCCGCAGCCATGGATGCATCCACGATCACGTCCGAAGGCACCTGATATCCATGTGCAAGGTTTCCAAGCTGGCATCGGCTTGTTTGGGGGAAGTTGAAGTGAAATGTGCTAAAATAGGTGCTTCCCCTTTTGGTTTCCCTGAAACCAACCCCGCACGCGCACCACACCACTGCTGACGTGGCACATGAAGATTCGTGATGCCTCGCCGGGAATCCACATAGGCCAAAGGCGGCCGCTTCTCGTAGCAAGCCGCCAGGTCTGCTTCGACCTCTGCCTTGCGAGGTCAAAACACAGCGATGGCCACGTGACTCACTATCAAAACCCGGCCTTGAAATGGTCTGCCCAGAACCATGCTGCAACTAATTCTTGCTGGGACTGTCCCTTACTCACCTTCATCTACCCGGGTTTTGAGTATGGCTCACATGAGTGTTAAAAACTCATTGTCCTGGCTCCGCTAGTAGCAACCTTCGCCTTGGTTGTCTAAAACCGCTAGTCCATAACCATCCCTTCCAATCCCCAAGCACAGGAATGGTTTTTTGACCATAGCGCACGCATGGGATGTCACATCCTGTGCGCTCAAAGCAGCGCCTGCTTGGGATGTCCAGCGATCTTTGCGTACGCGTCGCCCACCTCTCTTGTTCCAAAGCACCCCGAAGTCCCGGATTTGTGCTTTTTTGTTTTTTATCCGGGGCCCCGGCACCGTTGTTGGGATTCACGCCGAGCTCTTGAAACAGCGCCCCGTGCTTGTCAAAGGCATCTTTGTAGTAGACCTGGCTGCTGCAAGAGTCATGCAAAGGAAGTTGATCTATGAGCCTCGACGCAATGGCCAAAGAGCACAGGGTCGGACACCTTCCTAAGCTGAACAGGGATTCTTCGCGATCGCAGCTACCAATGACTACACCTTCACCCTTTCTAGTCAATCATCGTTCGGCTAGTCACAAGCTGACATCACACAATCTGGTTGAGTACCGCAAACCTGCTTGAAGCCAAGCGTCATCATGGTGGCCTTGAGATGCAGCGAATAGAGGACGCCTGGATTTGGCCAGCGCTGGGTGTATGCTGTTGATCGCCTGAAGCGACAAAATGATGGTGTGTGTGTGTGTGCTGTTCTCGAGAGGCTTCAGGTTTCGTCCGGCTGATCTGGCAGTGATCAACCAAACTGATTGTAGGTTCTTCTGCGGCACGTGTTCACAGCTGCTTGTTTGTCAAGTGCCTGTCTCAACTTGCTGTGCCTGGTTGGGAATCACGTGTACTCAGATTTTGTGTTGTGTCTTCCTTTACTTCTTTTCCCAATCTCCATCTTGCCCTGCCTGGCTCCATCGAATCCATTTCTTTCTCGTAAAATTTGCGCAACTCGGCCACCTGAGCGCGCGCGTGTGTGTGTGTGTGTGCAAAATGACACAAAGGTTGTGTGTATAGCTACACGGGAACACCCACGATGCGATGTTCTTGTGGCTCAGCACACGCACACTTCAGTGCCAGCCGGGAAACCCTCATGACACTGCTGTCGATGATTTCACCTGCGCAGCGTCTTAGCCACACAGCAGCTGTGTGGCGAGTCGTCCCTGTCTCCAAGCGCAGCAAGCTCTCCTGAGAGCACCGGCGTCTTGGCTTTCAGCACGGTGGTCTTTCCGGAATTCCCCACCAACTCGATGCGCACGCTGGACATGTCCTGCCAGTCGCAACTTGGAACACCAGTTGCTGGCCGCCAGTGCTTCTGCCTTTTCGCGCCCCCACAGAGGAATCCCACGCTAGTCGATCCCGCCTTCAGAATGCAGGACTGCTCCGAGGAGAAGAAGTCGCCATCCGACATGGAAGCAACAACACTCTTGGACTTGGGAGACCAATCGTGGTTCTTGTGAGGGTTTTTCTTGGCATACTCCTGGCGCGAGCAGAAGCAACGCAAGAACGTCGCTGAAGCTCACACTTGCCCTAGGTGCGCCAAGGTCAAAACTCCGCTTGGCCAAGGTCACGGCTCTCAGAAAAGAACCTTTGCAATGTCTACAACCCCTATTGAACGAACGACCATCCCTACACGAAACCAGTCTTTTCACCATGGCCATGCTTTCAATGCGCTGACACTCCTTCACTGGAACTGCCACACGGCGATCCGAGTTGCCCTCGCGCAACACCGGATTCACGGCACTGCCAAGCACCTGACAGGAGGCAATTCGCCAGCGTTTGGTGGGAACTGGTATATGGCTGACAGGACGATTTGCGGCCTTGGCATAGCGGGCCTTGATGTCAACTTCCTGCCACAACAAAAACTTTAACGCAGAGATCTTTCCATTATACACCTGAACATTGCCTTGTAAATGGTGGGTTCTCTTTATTTTGGTGGAAAAAGCCATGTTTCAAATGGGCAAAATGTATCTTTTAAGGAGCCCTGAACCATCATTATGAATCTGTGGGAGACTTGGAGCTCATCCCCCATATTTTGACCGAATGGCGACACAGCGCCACATCACTGACCCCCATGACTGCACATCCTGATGCCTTCATTTCCCAAAGGGAATCCATGGAACATGGAAAAAAGGAGCGGAACCCTTGCTGGATGTGGAGCGGAACCCCTCCCTGCACAGTCTTTCGGGGGGATCAGCGTCGTACGCTCTCCTCCTCCGTTTGTGGGTCTGCTGGGTAGTCGGGCACCGCGAAGCCCTTCGCCTGCAGCTCCTGGAGACGAGGAAGAAAAAAAAGGCGGGCAACACGTCCACCCCCAAACCGAAGCTACCCCCGTAAAACGGGGGTATACATAGACATATTGTATGTATATGTATATATATATATACATAGACATATTATATATATATATACACTCTACTTTATAGTTTCCATACAGTGGCTGCATGTCGCCATCTTAAACCCTGGATCCCGGTGGTGACTTGGCACTGTCCTTGATGGCCGCCAAGAGCTGCGGCACCGAGGCGGAGATATTCGGCAACCTCAATGCCAGTGGCCCAGGCGCAGATCGAAGCATCCCGCGGACTGCGGACGCAGCCAAGCGTCTTGACGATATTTGCCGCGGGATGCTTGGCCAAATTTCCCAGCTCTGTAAGATCGTCCTGCCCAGGCGCGACACCGGACACGGCGATCGCATGGCGATAGAAACGGGGGTTCGCATTCAGATGCGAGTGCACGAGGATCATTGTCCTCTGCCTCATTCCAGCAATCATCATGCCCTTCCCTTTAACAAATAATGCAGTCACGCTGACGTCCTAGGCACAAATTGTAATGCTGTCAAAGGGAGTGCAGCGAGTGCCCAAGAAAGATGGAATCAGCAAGCACAGATTCGCATTCAACAGCTTGCATCTTGATGTACGGCCTTCGCCATTTGCATGAAAATCCGGGCCAAACAAGTCCTTGCCCAAGGTTAACCAGAAGAAGTGTGCAATCCCAAAGTTTGCTGAGCATGTCCGGTTTGCAAGCAAATCTACCCTTCTACGAACTGATGATGTGGTAGAGTAAGCATGACCACTCAGCACTCAACTGTTGCTGGCACATTCACTCAGTGAACAATCCGCCAGAAAGCGTGATTCCACCTATGCTCGTGCATGCCAAGATGTATGCCAGTTGCCAATGAAGCTTCGTGCCACTCTGGCCTGAACTGACAGCGGCCTTCAAGAATCCCTGTCATGCTGAAAATGGCTCAGCAAAAAGCAACGCCCGAAACCGTGACGAAGCGAGGAGTTGCCGACATGGCCCATGGCTTTTTGTTTTTGTGGCCAGTCCTCCACACGCTGGGCATGCCGCAGCTTGTCCGGGAAGTGTGCCAGAATACGTGCAGACAGCGAGATGTCCTGCGCAAGCGACTTACATTTGCCATTGAAGCTTGCACCATTGTAAGGGCCTGTCTCAAAGCAGGGGTCCCTTTTCGTAAGCCTTCTTTAAATTAAAGAAGGGAGACCAAAAGAAGACCAGCCACCTGAAGGCAGCCCTAATTTTGAGAAGCACCTTCATTGAGAGATCAGGGCTCACTTTTGCGGGCAGGGCCAACATCGAGGGACTCAGGACTCAGGACTGTCAAACTATGCTCCTTCTTCATGATCTTCACGCCGGCGAAGCGGCAGTAAGCACGCAGCACCGGCAGCAAAGAGTATGTCGCCAACATCGGAGCTTCATCCGTGTGCGTGTACATGATCTTCACCTTTGACAATGAGCGGGCCATGCTGAACCGAAGGACCAAATGCAGAGTCTTGTTTGCACTGAGGCTGGCACATCTGGGATCTCAAAGCGAATGGTTCTTCCGGCCTCGTCTGCCTGACAATTCAGCCAAATGGATGCGTAGTACAAATAGTACAAAAGCATGCGCGAGCATCAAGGATAACACTCCTCTCTTGTACGAATGATTGCATCATGTGCCTAGCTGATGTGGCCCAGCTTCCAGGGGCATGTTCTTTGACCAAAAAGAGCCGATGTTGGAATCTCATCTTTGACGAAGCCGAATCCCTTGGGCCTTCTGCAACACCCGGAGCTTGGTTCCCGCTGGCATGTTGTCCAGCCACTCAGTCAATTCGACGGAGCCATCCTGTCCATTCATGGCTCTCGTTCGCGCTCCTTCTCTCTTTTGCGTCAAGCGACCGAGTGGGAGCCTACCACAAGGTGTTCAAGGGCTGGGGTAGGTTGCGTCGCGGCGTTTGCTCCTGCCTGGTTCACGTCCAGCCTGGAAAAGAGCTCTGACACCTGACATCCGAAAACGCAGTTTTGGGCAACACCTGGCGTCATCCAAGCGAAACCCCCTTTCTGTGTCAAATCGAGGGTGAACCAGGAAATTGGTTCAACGCTAAGCATGTGGAATATAAATCAAGACTGGCAAAACAATTCTCATCACCCAGCCACATGGCTGTGGGTCAAAAATAGGTACCCAAATGGAACCCTGGCAAGAGGAAACATGGACTAAAATCTGCGGTCCCTGGCGGTTTAATTTTGACCCACAGCCACATTTGGATGACACAAACAACGCCCGTCGATTCTGCGGCTTCGGCCTCCACGTCTCCTGCCGGGAGGTCCAAATCCTTCAGCGCCCTCTGCAGCTCCGTGGCGTCCAGCGCGCCACTGCCATCCTGATCCAACCGGAGAGGGGGAACCGGAAAGTCTGAGCTCAAATGAGCTTCAGACAGGCAGGAGGTCTTAGAGAACCAAAACAAGTTCATAGATGCTGCTCGCATCTTGTGGAAAAGGAGAAGAGACCGCAATTCAGCTTGGGAGCCCCATCATAGCGCTGGAAGGCCTGCGCAAGGATGGCCAACTCCTGGCAGGGAAAAAGCCGATCCAGCGCAGGTATCGAGTCCAGGTGCTCTCCCTTCAAACGCTTCTCTAGATTTGGATATATGTCAACATGGGGGGACCCAAAAAGATGACGGTTGTCCTTTTGGTTTCCCTTTCAACAAAGGTGAAAAGGGTACCCTCAAATAAGACGTGCCCATTCAAAAAGGAGGGCCTTGCAGGGCTTCTATCTGACTGTGGTCGGAATGAGTGGGTGCCTGGTACGTTCCTTACCTCTTGACATCCGCCTGGTCGCTTTCTTGCGATCTAGGCTGACAGCTTGCGATCTAGGCTGACAGCTTGCCCGCTGTCTCAACAGTCAGATCAACTTACCATGATCAAACAGCGCACGGCACCCAAGAAACATGATAGGGCTCTTTGCCACGGCCAACCAAATCACATCTTCTTGAAGGCTCCAAAACGAGCAGCGATCCGTGTCCAAGTGGTTTGGGTATCAAATTGGGAGGTGATGAAACATGGAACGAATGGGACACACCATGGGGGCAACACTCGAGCTGGGGGCATTTGCAGTACGGAGGTTTCGGAACACAGTGTCAAACCGGTCATTGAAAGGGTTTGGAACGCGCTATGAAACAAGATAGGAAATGGTAAGGCATGAGAGTAAGAAACGGGGTAGGGAATCTGGCCGATCTCCTGCTTAGCTGCTTGTGCTCTGGCGGACACTGCGTCCGAGACTTTGCTTGCAAAATGTCGGCCGCAACCCTGCTCTGGCCTTAGCCAACATAGCTTGCGCGACCTGCTGCGTGGGCCCTGTTTTTGCCGCACAAATCCTGGCCCTCTGAACCAAACTCTGAGCTTGCTGCCTGAAAACGGTTGTGCCAGCTCCTCACTCACAACTGCCGGATCAGAATGCATGCACACTTCTGCATCCTCGGCAACATCTGCCATCCTCGGCAAAGCCGGGCTCCGAGTGTCCGCGAGAACCGCAGCATTGGGATTTGGAACCTTAAGCGCCCGGCTCAGAGCCAAACGGCTGCCAATTGGAAAAAGCCTGTAAGGTCTGTCTCAATCATGGCATGTTGGTTCCGCGAAGGCTAGTCTTCGCAATGTCTGGCTTCTGGTTGCCTGCCCTCAAGAGTTTGTCCCACAGGATCACCGCGCTGACCTAACCCAAGTTCCGGCATCAACAAGCCAATGGGAAGGACTGTGAAGACTCCACGTGTGCGGCTCTGAAATTTGTGTGAGTTTCAAGATTAACGTTTGGAAAGGAACCCACTAGTTCTCCCTGGGTTCGTTGAAGTGGCATCCTCAAAAATAGCTCGAAACCCAAGATTCGGAGAAAACCGTGCGACGCCTTGCCATTGTCTGGATCAAAGCGAGGCAAGTCCTGACAATTTGTTCAACCCTTCCATGACCCCGTTAAACAAAATCTGCACGGATGGCAATGTCTGAGCATTCAAAGCATGTGAGCATGGGTCAAAATTCACCAGAAACCGCAAAGTTGAGTCCTGGGCTCCATTTACCAAAATTCCATTTTCGGGTACCGATTTTTGAGCAGCCATGTTGCCCTCGCCAGTTGCACCATTGGCCCTCTTGGCTCCTTCGAGGCAAAGAATCGCAACCCGAGCCTGAAGTGCTGGCGTGGCAAACAAACCCCAAAAGGCAGGTCCAAAGGAGATTCGTAAAATGATGTTTGGGTTTTGAGGTGTTCGTTCCATAGTCCGAGAAAGAGTGATAGTTCCAAAAAGGATATAGACACGTGAAGTGAACACCTGGTAAGTTCTCAGCTCTGAAGATTCCCTTCCCAACGCAAATGCTACGGTGCCCTCCCTTCCCAACACGGTACGGTGCCCTCCCTCAGGTGCCATGGCCAATCCAGGCCTGGCGCCAGCGCCATAGCTTAGCCACGCCATGTCGCTTTTGGGCACTTCGAATTTATTCTGCCAGGCTGTCCCTCTGTAGTCATGCTGCAACACGGGTAGGTCACTGAATTGATCGAAACTCTATCGAAATTCAGAGTTGAATGTCACATCGTGCCCTTGGCGAAGTAGGAAGCCTTGCAACTCTCAAATCGCATCCAACGAGCCAATGTGAAGCGGCTACGAGCAGTATCCCCTTGCAGGTTGCGCATCGTCCATGTTTGATCAGCGAGAATATCAGCACCTGAGACGAACGGCGATTAGTCATACTCACCTGCGCCTGAATCGACGTCTTTCGTGGGTTGCAGCAAAGCCTTTGCTTTCCCTTGACAAGAACGCATTCTGCTCGAGCTGTTCCTTTCACTTGGACATGCCTCTCTGGCCATTTTGTCGGTTTGGCCATGGGCAAATGTGCGTTATCTGCAGCGTGATGCTACACCTCGTACGGCGTTGGCCAGGGCTTGTGATTGCATGTGTCGCCCATGTACCTGTCAGCTTTGCTGACTGGACAGGGCTGAAAGATCCGGCCGACCGAACAAACAAATGATTACCTCACCTTCAAGAATGCAATTCTCAAGAATTCACAAAGCAACAAAGTACTGCCTGGTCAAACGCCCTCCCCAGCCACTCCCTTCAGAAGTGCCAAGGATGCCTGCCGTGGATACAAGCCTGTTCCTGCTTGCTTGTTGCCTTTCCTGTGTGTCTCAATATTGCCTCTGTGGCATAACAAGGAAACTCAAGCTTCAGGCAGGACTCAGGACGAATTCGATTCAGAGCTGCTCACGCACTTCTTCCTCGCATTGGAAGAGGTCGTGAGCCGACAGATTGGCTTATCCACGTCGCCGCAACCTCACAAGTGGCCAATGTCAATGTCGGATCAGTCACAAAAACAAACAAACGACTAACATCAAATCGGCCAAGTCGTTTATCCTGCAAGGAGCATCTAACACCATGAAGCACTCTGCACACGCCTGTTCTTGTCCGAATCTAGCGGCAAGCGGCCAGTGCGCTGGCTGTGCCAAATTAAGCTAGCAGCTAGCACAATTCTCAGGGAAACTACCTATATGAACACAGGACGATCCAATCAATCTAATCTACGGAGCATCATTACAGGGACAGTTCCTTGCTTTCATTCCACGTTTGACTTTTGTCCCTGCAATGGACTGCTTCTCATTTGACGTCGCCATTTCTGGCTGGTGACTCTGCCTTCCGGCAAGTAGTGCTTCCTCTTTGTACAAGTAATCTAAGCCAATCAGAGCTGCGCAATTGCGTCCATTTCCACTGCACCGCCCAGGCCCACATGGTCCGTTCCAGTGCAAATGCGCGAAGGAAGCGGCCGAGATCCCCAAGCCTCCAAATATCCTGCCGCACTTAAGACGCCTCGACATATCCCAGTGGAGACGCATGGATTGGGGTCTGCAAGCAACCGAGATTTGATCCGCATTTCTCACAGAACCCTCAATCATTAAACTCTGCTTGGAAGACTCTCAAGGCCACGTTTAGGCCTTGAACCAATTGCAGACTCCGGATCTCCAAAAATGCTAGAGGCTGACAAAAGAGATGTGCGGTCCTTTATTCATTGAATCGAAGCGCTCAAAGGAGTAGTTGACCAGGTATGCCTCACCACGAGATCAACCACAAAACACCTTGGAACATGTGGCTTCCGCTCTGTGCTTGTTGTCTGCGGGAGCATGGCCCTTTTGACATGGGGTATGTGTCAAAATACGGGACCAACAAAACGCAATGGTTTCCGGTTGGTTTTCCTTCACAACCACCAGGAAGGGGGGCTCCTTTTTTTTTGGCGGGGGGGGGGGGTCATTTTTTGGTTTGCGGGGAGGGCACCCTCAAAATCGCAGGTTCCTGCACCCTGTGAACCACCCCAAGAAGCAAAGCCCAGCAGACCCAAGGCGCATGCACCATGGTCACATGCTCCAGGCCAGCACCACAGGCCTTGAGGCAGGCTTCGATGGTCCGCATGGTCTGAAGTGCCTCCTGCTGGGGGCCACCTGGGACAAGGCGGCCGCGGCTCCACCCGAAACACGGCATGTCTCGTGGAAGAGCTTGGGTCATGGTTTGGATTTGGGCTCCATACGGGTATGGGTCAAAATCAAACCACAGGGACCGCAAGTTGTAGTATGTTGTTCCACCATTTGCCAGGGTTCCATTTTGTGTACCTGTTCTTGACCCACACCCAGACCCTGCCCAGCTTGGTTCGAAGGTAGACCAAAAGAAAACCACCCAATTTGAGCGTCCAGATCCCTATTTTGGCAGAGGCTCAGAGTAAAATGCGTGTCACATGCCCAGCCTGGAACAACCATAAGCCTGCCTCCATCCATTTTGGCACCAACAGCCCCTGAGACGTAGATAGTTCCGGCAGCTGTCACCACTGCCGAACAAAATGGAAGCTTGGGGACGCCAAAGTCCAGCGTCACATGAATCTTGTTGCCTACTGTCTGCTTTATGACCTTCAGGTCACCCATTCCTTGCAGGTAGACGGATTTTGCGATCCGGATTCGTGGTCGGCGGAATATGTACAAAGCAAAGGACACTCCAATGCCGATTGCCGCAGCAGACAAAACGGATGGCAGGGATGGCACGCTTGACATCTCCGAAAAGCACCAAACCCCTCAAATATTGATCATTCCTTTGAGCCAAACCAGCTTTTCTCGCTTGCTTCAGAGTTCACTGATGACCGCATTATGCCAGCTCACCTGCGATGCAAATTGTCCCTATGAGTTCCCAGCCAAGATCAAATAGGGTAGTGATGGCAGCGCTGATCCTAAGGCAACGTGGGCATGCTCAGGTCCAAGTCAATGTGAGTAGCGTCGAATCCCATCAACTTTTGGTTCTACCAAAATCGTAAAGGCATATCTATCTAGCCCTTACTACAATCCTAATGAAACCAGCTAGTGGAACCACCTACTTAAATGGCGAATAGGTGGGCGCTGCTCACATGAGTATCATGACAATTCACAATGCTCTTGGATGCTGCCTGTCTCAGCACATCCTGAATGTCTGAGAAAAGACCTCTGAGAAACCTAGAAATCCAGAGACAAAAACATCATCCTGAGGTGTGCACGTACCGCCCAATTGCCTCGTGAATTGCGGCGCATGCCCAGGCCGGGGAAAACAAAGAAAACTCATCGGGGCGTTTTGCTTCACACTGGCCTTGGGTCAAAATCCAAATCGCACCCCCAGTGAACATCCCAATCCCGACTAAAATGGACTGAAATGGGTGGTGAATTCACCTACCCCAAAATGGGATCCGATCGGTGACCCACAGCCGCCTGTCAGCATGGCTTGCGCTTCCGCGCTGAGCTCCTCCGCGGGCTCCTTCGAGGGATGATTGCGGGCTGTCGAGGCGTGTTTCGAAGGCCTCCCCGAAGAAGAAGCCAGGGATGGGAATGGACAGCAGATTGTTCCTCAGCCCAAGGAGACCGCGGAACCGTGCCAAGACTGAAGACTAAGGCTTGCACGTACAGAAGGGCGAATCCGAGCAAAGCTTTACCTCAACCCATCGGCCAACTTGAGTCAATTTGCCCAAACTCAAGGTGATGTCTCTCTGATCCAGGTTTGAGGGTGGAGCCCTCTTGAGTCTACCTGCAAACCGCCTGAATTCCCCGAAGACATGCTGCCTCTTGCGCCGGTGGCCCGCCCTTCAGCCCTTCATGCCCCGGCCTGCCATAGATTGTCGTAAGGCATGGACGTCCTGGCACTGATGCAGACTCCCACCAACCGCAGGTCTTAAAAAAAAAAATAAAAAAAAAAAAAAAAACGCCGGCATGACGACGGCGTCAGAGCTGGGAAAGCGTAGTGGAAGATGCCAGAGACATTCTTGGACATGTCAAGGCCAAACCTTGCGGCTCGAACCGCCTAACCTTCTCTGTTCCTCTACAGCACAGTGCACATGTGATCCTCTGACCCCGGCAGGGCAGTGTGGTATGAACCCACCTCCTCTTGCAGTTGTAAGCTAAGGCATCATCCACAGCTGCCGAGGCAAGATGTCGGTCCAATTCCACTCCGTCACAGCCTAGGTCGCAAGAGCTGCATATACAAATACACCACATAAATACATACATATATATATATATTACTACTAACAATAATGATAATAAACAACTAATCTGAACGACAGTAATGATTAAAAAAGAAAAGAAGCACTATAATAATACCAATAATAATAATGATAATAATAACAATAACAATAACAATAATGATACTGATAATAATAGCATAAAAATAATAATAAATCATAGCAGTGCAAATACATAATAGTAATAACAATATTGGTATGTATGTATGTATGTGTATGTGTATGTGTATGTATGTGTATATGTATATGTATGTGTATGTGTATGTGTATGTGTATGTGTATGTGTATGTGTATGTGTATGTGTATGTGTATGTATGTATTTATGTATGTATGTATGTATGTATGTATGTATGTACGTATGTATGTGCATGTGCATGTGTATGTGTATGTGTATGTGTATGTGTATATGTATATGTATATGTATATGTATATGTATATGCGTACGTGTATGTATATGTATATGTATACGTATATGTATATGTATATGTATATGTATATGTATATGTATATGTATGTATGTATATGTATATATATATATATGCTACCCCCCCCCCCTTGAAATAGTCAGGTTTTGGGCCAGAACTGAGGTTTTTTTTGCCAGACTGGGGGTGACAAATTCCTTGCGACTCTGAAATGAACTGACTGGACGCTCAACTCCATGCAAATTCCAACCAAGCAGAAGTTAAGCTCAACGTTGAAGGAGTTGCGAGTTGTGTGACCGTCACATTAGCTCAAAAAGCACAACTGTCCAGTACAAGAGTAGTGCGCGAAGTATGCTTTGGCAGCCTCAATGCGCCTGTCGCAGCTCTACTATTGTGTGTTTCTTATCTTTGTTTGGCTGCGAAATTCAGCAAATCATCAACTTGGGGAAAAGGAACTCATTCCTACTTCATGTCCTTGCGCAGTTGCATTTTCATGTTAACTCGAGTGTTGTGCAGAATTCCGTGTACATGCCAGTTCAGTCTAATTGAAACATATGTTGCAAAGCAACTATCCCATGTGTGTGTGTGTGTGTGTGCGTTGCTTGTCTAACTTGGTTCCATCATCGCCAATAACAAGCATTGAAATTCAAGTAAGGGAAGGATATCCAGTTTAAAACGCTTTCGAGTTCAAACCAAATTCAAGTTTACTCGTTTGGAGTTTCTTGTGGATTTCAAAAATCAACTGGAGAAGATAGCTCCCCTAAAAACTTGACAGTTTGTTCTAGACTCATTAAGGTTTTGCCCCCTGCATTAAAGATTGAAGATCTACTATATTTTCTATTGAGAATCTTCCATCCTGGCCAGCCCTCAAGTCCACAAAAAAACCTGTAAAGATGTCAACAACATTTTTCCCCCTGGCCAAATGCAGGTGCTTGGCAGTGCAAGTGCCCATCCACAAATTGATTCTGACAACGTGCACTCCGGGTATGCCTTTTAGATTCTTCAAATCTGCACTTAGGGCAATCCAGGATCTGAAGATTGAAGATTCTCTGACAACTCTTTCTGAAATTCTCCAAATATGTACTTAGGGCAATCCAGGATGTGCTAGCACGTGCTAGCACATCCCGGATTGAAGATTGAAGATTGAAGATTCTCGGGCCACTTGTTCTGGAAATCTTCAATCCTTAGGACAAACTGATATGTGCTAGCACGTGCTAGCACATCTTGGATTGAAGATTGAAGATTGAAGAATCCCAGAGAGAGTTGTCAGAGAATCTTCAATCTTCAATCTTCAGTCCAGGATGTGCTAGCACGTGCTAGCACGTGCTAGCACATATCAGTTTGTCCTAAGGATGGATTGAAGATTTCCAGAACAAGTGGTCTCAGAATCTTCAATCTTCAATATTCAATCCGGGATGTGCTAGCACGTGCTAGCACATCCTGGATTGACCTAAGTACCGATGCTAGAATTTAAGTCTAAAACGGAGTGCATTTTTGGAGCCTAATTTTTAGAAGCTGGAACGTGTGTTTTGCATGCATTTTTACAGCCAAAATGTCAATTTCTGGCCAAAAAGCTGAGTATTCCAGGGGGGGTACCATATATATATATATATATATGTATGTATGTATGTCTGTCTGTCTGTCTGTATGTCTGTATGTCTGTATGTGTGTATGTATGCATGCATGTATGCATGTATGCATGTATGCATGTATGCTTTTATGTATGTCTGTATGTCTGTATGTATGTATGTCTGTATGTCTGTATGTGTGTATGTCTGTATGTCTGTATGTCTGTATGTCTGTATGTCTGTATGTCTGTATGTCTGCATGTCTGTATGTCTGCATGTCTGTATGTCTGTATGTCTGTATGTATGTATGCATGCATGCATGCATGTATGCATGTATGTATGTATGTATGTATGTGTGTGTATGTATGCATGCATGCATGCATGCATGCATGCATGCATGCATGGATGCATGCATGTATGTATGTATGCATGTGTGTGTCCATGTTGTGGGCTTGGTCTGCTCTCATGCCTGCGCACGCCTGCAAAGTTCAGAATGGACCCGTTACGGGCCGTCAGCCCCCTACATTGGCAAACCCGTCTGCCTGACTGAGGTGTCGGCAACGTTGTTAGTTCTCACCAGTCTAATCACATCTTTCGGCCGTCTTACCTTTATCTCCATCCTGGCACAAATGAGACTGCTGTGTTGCATTCAGCGAAACCTTCTGTCATTTGTTGGCATTTGAGGGGCTCGTATTTCTAGCAAAGCTGCTGCCACCCACCTATGAAGCCAATTCAACTGCCTCTGCAATGCTTTACAATTCGAGCTGCGCAATGCCTATGCCTACACTTATGGCCCTGTGAGCAAAATGCCTTCAACTTCAACTCAACGTAGGTCTTCACAGAGGAAAACAGAATGTCCGCAGCGAAAGAAAGAGCTCAGCAATACGAGTAGACTGGACCCGGACCAATACCAAGCCGGGCAGACCCCTGCGGGGCCATAATTTCGATCACCCGAAGTGGCACGTTGCCCTCCTGACCTCTCGGCCTGGAGGCAAAGCACACGTGCGCAAAGCGCAGGAACCGGTACGTGGGTGGTTTTTTTGCGAATGGCGCCCTTTTTGGTTCCAAGGTTCAAAGGGGAAGGACACCGCCCGTTTGGAGGATCTCCCCTTGTCAAGACAACCCCATGTCAAGGGATGCAAACTCCCAACATGGCATCGGCATCGGCATTCCTTTTGGCTTCAACCTCAAAACCCAACCCGAAAAGTAACGTTCGCTGACTTGGGCTTCGCCACAGCGTCTGGATGTCACAATTCAGTGGTGAGCCTCGTCAGGTTGAAGGAGAAGTGGATGGCCACCGTCATCATTGATGCAGGCACCTGCCATGCGAAGCAGGCGCTCTTGGAACGCCCCACGGCCCAACAATCAAAACCAGCGATCCGTGGGTGTTTCAAAGCAGCGCCCACAAAATGGTTGGGTTTGCCCCATTCTCCTTATAACTATCCCAAAAACGGGGGCACATTCAAAAAAAGACACACCCTCTCCAAAGGAGCCAGGGCAAATCAAGGAAGGTTGCAGTGCTGATAAGTGCCCTTCAACGCTTGCCCTGCGCACCGGCTGAGTGAACCAGATCCTGAAGTCTTGGACCTGAGAAAAGTGGAAGCACTTGTCAATGGGAAATACCACGGCGACGCGTTTCAATGAATCAGCCCGCAAGAGGCGCGGGACTTGAGGAAAGTGCTGCCGGGATTCTTGCCAATGACTTGGGCCCCGGCCCGCGGAATGGTCCGCACCTGCGGACTTTAGCTCGATCGCATCAAAATCCTGACACGCACTGCCCCAGCCTCCTCACCGGGCAGCCACAAATTTCCATCAACCGCCACCTTGTTGGGATCCATCACGCGCACTCGGAATACCTATCAGGCGAAAAGGCAAGTAGTCCATACCTGCTTCGCTGATTGTAGAAAACTCGTTTGGAGACTGTAAGACTTTCAGACTTTCCCACCCTCTGCAAACTCTGCGCTTCCATTTTTCCCAAGCGCACGTTGTTGGTCCGCGGCTTCGGAGTGTCGAACGGCACTTGGATGGTCAGCGACCACAGCAGCTCTGACCCAGCCTGGCACCGCTTCCACGCTTCCAAGCGAGGCTCCTTCGCTTTGTCGGTGTCGCGCCTCCAAGGCGTACGTGGGGATGGGTGGCAGATCTGGGAAGTCCTCGGGATCCAGCTCCGCCCACCAGGGCCTGGCAGCTCGGCATCCAAATCGAGCCCTCGTGACTGGCATGCAAAAAGGGTCCAGGTAGTCCTTACCATGACCGCATGAAGCTTTTGGTTGCAGACCAGCGCTGCTCATGTGGATTGCGATGTCTCAAGCAAGACATGCCCAGCTGTCCAGGCGAAGTTCAGGAGGATCTCATGCAAGGGGTCACAAAGCGGCAGCAGGGGGTTCGGATCTCAGCATGCAAGCTGGACTCCCCTCTGTCACTGCGCAAAGACTCTTTCTGCGGTTGGAACCCATACTCGCCAAAAAAACAGTGGCATCTTCGCGCGCGTTCAAGTGAGTGCCCGTGCACGTGCGTGTACCCGCACGCGCGTGTGCGCGTGCGCGCGTGCGTCGGCGTGGGTGTGGGTGTGGGCGTGGGCGTGGGCGTGGGTATGGTTGGGCGCTGGTGTACGTGTGCACACAGCGGGGGTGCTTCTGCGCGCACATGTCATTGCGCTTGTGCGTTGGTATGTGTGTATGTGTGTATGCGTGTATGTGTGTAGGTGTGTATGTGTGTATGTGTGCATGTGTGTATGTGTGTGTGTGGGTCGGCGCGTGTGGGTGCGTGGGCGCGTGCGTGAGTACGTGCGCGCGTGCGTGTCTGCGTGCGTGCGGGCGGGCGGGCGGGCGGGCGAGCGGGCGGGCGGGTGCGTGGGCGGGTGGGCGGGCGGGCAGGCGCTCGCAAGTGCGCGTGCGTACGTGTGTGCTTGTGTGTGTGTGCGCGCGTGTTTGCGTGTGTGTGCGTGTGTGAGCGTGTGTGCGTGTGCGTGTGTGTGTGTGCGCGTGTGCGCGTGGGTGCGTGTGTGCATGGGTGCGTGGGTGTGCGTGTGTGCGTGCATGTGTGCGTGTGTGCGTGTGTGCGTGTGTGTGCGTGTGTGCGTGTGCGCGTGTGTGCGTGTGCGCGTGTGTGCGCGTGTGCGCGCGTGTGTGTGTGCGTGTGCGCGTGTGTGCGCGTGTGTGCGCGTGTGTGCGCGTGTGTGCGCGTGTGTGCGCGTGTGTGCGCGTGTGTGAGCGTGTGTGCGCGTGTGTGTGCGCGTGTGTGCGCGTGTGCGCGCGTGTGTGCGCGTGTGTGTGCCTGTGTGCGCGCGTGTGCGCGCGTGTGTGCGCGTGTGTGCGCGCGTGCGCGCGTGTGCACGTGTGCGTGCGCGTGCGCGCGCGTGTGCGCGCGTGTGTGTAAGCGTGTGTACGCTTGTGGGTGCGTGCGTGTTTGCGTGTGTACGCGTGTGGGTGCGTGCGTGTTTGCTTGCGTGCGTGCGTGCGTACGTGCGTGCGTGCGTGGGTGGATGGGTTGGTGGGTGGGTGAGTGGGCGGGTGGGTTTTGGGTGTGTGCGTGCGCGCGCGCGCGCGCGTGCGTGCGTGCGTGCGTGCGTGCGTGCGTGCGTGCGTCCGTGCGTCCGTGCGTGCGTGCGTCCGTGCGTCCGTCCGTCCGTGCGCGCGTGCGTGCGTGCGTGCGTGCGTGTGTGTGTGTGTGGGTGGGTGGGTGTGTGGGTGTGGGTGCGGGTGCGGGTGCGGGTGCGCGCGTGCGTGCGTGCGTGCGTGCGTGCGTGGGTGGGTGGGTGGGTGGGTGGGTGGGTGCGTGCTTGCGCGCGTGCGTGCGTGCGCGCGCGCGTGCGTGCGTGCGTGCGGGCGGGCGGGCGGGTAATCGCTCCGCTTAATACGAATGCCCCAACCAGTCTTGTTGCGAACAATCCCAAAAAGAGGGTGGCTGGCAGTGACCGGTACAAGATCGTGTTTGGTTCCTGCAGTAGCCCAGACGATGCGATAGATCCCGCGCGGGCGTCCATCTGGCTCGCGAGCAGTAGTGTCAAGCCCTTCAACTCCAAACGCACGCAAAATTTCCTGCTCAGACGCGGTACTCACAGTGGCCTGGAAGCCGAGCATGTCTGCAGCGTCAGGAGTTGATCGTTGCCTTTGCAGGAAATACGATCTACCCCATACCTTGGTGAGTGGGATATCCAGGTTGAGGCAAGTCTGAATCTTCCTCGCTTCTCTGATTGGGTGTTGTCTGGCTTGGGACCAGTCAGCGTCCGCAGACTCATCCTTGAACATCTGAAAAGTAACCTGCACCTCCGAGAGCGGAGATAAACCGAAAATAACAGATCTGTGATTGCAATCCTGAAAGGCAAATCGTCCGCTGGAACATTGTACCAACGCCTTGTCCGCTCGAAAAGGTGGTGTCCGTCCGTCAGAGTCAAATTGCTTCTGCTTCCAACTGCGCTGTCGGTCTCAGGAAAAGGGCCGTCTCCATCCTCGAATACCACATCAAGGAACCCGTCCTGACTACCGGCTTCGGACGCCACTTCTGCATCTGGCGGTTCTTCACCAAGTGGGGCATTTCACCGTCTCAGTCAAAATCATCTTTGCCGTGAGGGCAGTCCCTGTGGCATCTGGAAACGGCGGCGGCAGGGTGATATATGAATGAAGTGGACTCTGTCCATAAAATGGCTGTCCGTCTGCAGGATTGGCTGTTGGCCATGTATCATAGAAATCGAAGCTTTCGTGTCTTCGGCCGACAGGCACAACACAATTATAGCCACAGCACACACGCATGCTGGGGCTCCTGGGGCTCCTGGGGCCAAGCACGTGGGAAAGCACAACGGCTGGCAGCATGCCACTCCTGAGGACAGGACTGTGCAAGCCATTGGCGTTCAGGCAGAAGGGCAGCAGGGAGAACATTCCCAGACAAATAGGCAAATGAGCATCTGCAACCGGGCAAAACTCAAAACCTTACGGATAGGTGCGCCCAAGCCGCAGCCACAGCTACATCATTGCGCGTGGCGTCGGGGGCAATTGTCTTCCGACACATCCACTCATCCTTCGTCTTCACCCATGTCCCACCGAAGGACTGTGAACCGCGGAACGTGCCTATGTGTGAGACAGCTATACCAGAGAGTCAAGTCAATGCATCAAACGGGGGGCCTGGCCAGGACGTAACGACTCGGCGCAGCAGGTAGGCCTGCATACGCTGCTGGCTTGTAGGCTTAACCAAGGCCGCAGTTGCCCCAAGCGCCGAGGAGACAGACGCCGTCTCCAAGTCCGTAAAATGCCAGCAACACGCCGCCCTTGTCAAGTAAGACCGTGCAGTGAGGGAAGGACCCCCGAGACTGACCGCCGACCCACAAGCCAGTCGCTGCACCGTGAAGCCAAACTTCAGGAGGAAGGACATTGGCAATCCGCAACCAGCGGAGCGGCAATGCCGTGAGTTCAGGAAGTTCGGGACTCCCCACTAGTCGGCACATGAGCTGACAGAACGCTGAGACATAGTCCCCTCTCATTGACGCTATGATTAGCACGAGACATGGCAGTGAAGCGCCTCTGAATCGACTTGCTGGCAGCCTTCTGCGCAACACGCACGCACGTCGCCCGCGAGGTGCGTTTTTGCCAACCATCTTCTCCCAGCGCGCACCTGCCCTCAAGCACAAGTCCCAGCTGCGGCGCCTCCGCGCAGCCGGTCTCATCAAGCCCCAGCATCGCAGAGTTGCTAAGCTGTGTGTTAGTGACTAACCTACTTTTGGAACGACATTTGCAAGCAGCGGCATAGGGACCCAGCATTGAGCAAAAACCCCCCAAGAAGCCACTGGTTCACAGAGGACCCCCTCTCTCCTGAAGGTGCTGCGCCGGCAAGCAATGCTCACGAAGATGGGCAGCAACCGCCTGCGCTGCAGCCAAGAGGGTAGGGAGACCCTGCCCGCTGTACGCGCCATGTGTAAGTTCCAAGCACCATCCGAAGCAGCGGTGATCCTCCACGACAGCCATTGAAAGTGGGCACTACCAGCAATAGCGCAGTCGTCAACGTAGCCTTCTGTTGTGATAGGAGGCGGGAGTTGATTCAAGCACCAATTTAGAGGGTCCATAGCGACGCAAAACATAAAGACAGGAAAAGCCCTGCCCATGTCAACACCTTGCTGCACAACCCGACGCAGAGCAGCCTGCCTTGAACCTTGTGCAAGACTTTCCGGCCGAAGAAAAGCTGTCTAGCATAGGCACATAACCAGTGCGGAGCTCCACGCGCAGCCAACACACGCAAGGCAAAGTCGCGGTTGGCCCTCTCAAAGGCTTTTGACAAATCCACTTGTTCGCGGAAAGCATTGAGAACCGTTTGGCGCAGGCGGGCGGGCGGGCGGGCTCGCACGCGCGAGGGTGCCCGCACGTGCGCACATAGCGGGAGCGTTTATGCGCGCATCCGCACTCATCGCTCACGCACGCAAGAAGGCGCACGCGCGCGCTCGTTGATTTGCACATCAACCCTGGCACCAGCTGTTTCACACACAGGGGGGGCAGGGGGCCGGCGCCCTCACGATATCAGCTGATCATCCTGACACACCTGCAATGACACAAGGTGCATTTCGCCCCTCGCCTTCACGCTGTCAGTTGCTTTCGCCCTGCTTAAGCAACAGAGCGCAGCTAACTGTGTCACTGGTGAGTTGACTTCGAATTGCCCTACTTGAACAACCCTCGAACACAGTCCCTCGCATCTTGCCCACCATACCTGGGAGGACCGGATATTACCATTGTGTGGCTCTGGGCTTGCGGTCTTTCTGCTTTGCTGGTTTAATAAACTTCCTCCAGTTGCGGGGCTTCCGGCTTGGCTAGCTGGATCTTTCCACCCGTGTCTGTGTGTCTGTGTGTCCGTGTGTCTCTGTGGTTGTGTGTCTGTGGCCTGTGTGTGTGTGTCTCTTGTCTCCGCGTCTGTCTCTGTTTCTGTCTCTGGGTCTCCCTGTGTGTCTCTCTATGCGTCTGCCTCTGTGTCGGTCTCTGGGTATCCCTGTGTGTCTCTCTGCGTCTGTCTCTGTGTCTGTCTGTGTGTGTCTCTCTGTGTGGCTGTGCGTGTGTCTCGTTTTGCTTCTGTGTCTGTTTGTCTGCGCGTCCCTGCGCGCGTGCTTGCGTCTCTGTGTGTGTGTGGCTGTTTGTTGGTGCGTCTGTGCATGTTGGTGCGTCTGTGCGTGTGTGTGTGTGTGTGTGCTTGTGTTTGTCTTTGTAGTTGTGTTTGCGCATGTGTTTGTGCTTGTGTTTGTGTTTGT